TAGTTTTCTGTTGTACTAAAGAATTTGATTATCTTTGTGTTATAGAAAAAGTGATTCCTAAGTGCCATATTTATATGTTCTAATATTGTAAAGTTATTGGTAATGTTAATGCAATTACCTGTATATGGGTTGCAGTTTGTGATGGATATTCTCTAGCTTGTAGTTCCTGTCAGTCCCATCCACTACATTTTCTCCTCTTCCCTTTTGTGAGTCATGTTAAGTAATTATGGATTTATTTAAATATTAGATTAAATAACTCATAATTAAGTGAGCAGATTTACTGCAAATAATAGTCATTTAGCCCAGCTGGCATGGCTCAGTAGTGAACATTGACTTATGAACTGGGAGTTCATGGTTCGATTCCAGTTTGTGCAGGCTCCATCTCCAGTATGGGATGTGCAGGAGGCAGCCGATCAATGATTCTTACTCATCATTGATGTTTCTATTTCTCTCCCTCTCCTTCCTCTCTGAAATCAATAAAAACATATTTAAAAATCATAATCATTTTTAGTAATTTCTAAAAGAAGCTGAATACAGGTTTTTAGAGCACCATAAGAAAGCCAGGTGGAAGGCTGCTTCTGAATCAGAAGAGATTATGTTTTTAAGAAAATCAATCTTTGCTGAAACCGGTTTGGCTCAGTGGTAGAGCATCGGTCTGCGGACTGAAGGGTCCCGGGTTCGATTCCAGTGAGGGGCATGTACATTGGTTGCGGGCACATCCCTAGTAGGGGGTGTGCAAGAGGCAGCTGGTCGATGTTTCTCTCTCATCGACGTTTCTAGCTCTCTGTCTCTCTCCCTTCCTCTCTATAAAAATCAATAAAATATATTAAAAAAAGAAAAGAAAATCAATCTTTTAGCGAATTGTCTGTCCTGGGAAAATCTGTGTAATTTGTATTTATTATTTTAAAATATTTTAAAATCACTGAAGTGAATTATGTGTATTTTTTATGAGCAGAATGATTGAGGTGGAGCAATAAGATAAAATTATCATTATTACTAAAAAAAACACACTTCATTACATTTAATTTAAATCCAATCAATGTAATTTCTTTTAATTACCCTTGTATTCAAAGAGGCAAACAGTATAATTTGTCATAGTCTTTCCAGTCTTTTTCCTGGTTTTTTTTTTTAATGGTTCATGTTGTAGTGCATATACGTTTGTATCTTGTTCTTTGGAGTTAATATGATTTTTCTGGCTTGATATTTTTCCAATGGGTAGATGTAACTACCATACTTAAAAGTATTATTTTAAAACCCAGTGATACACAAGTCAAGACTTCTGAGTTTTAGGAACTATGCAGATTCTTTTGTTCCAATAGTTATACTTTCTATTTGTTATTGTTGCGTGGAATGGGTGTTTTATTGGATATTGAACATCTTTAAACAAAAAGATTCTTGTAGTAATATTTGTCCTAAACTTTTTTCCCTTCTCTGATTGCTTGTTTCATTAAATTTAGTACAATGTTAGAAGAATGTAGTAGTAGGACCCAACTTGGGTTTAAAAATACTTTTAAGTTATTATATATTCCCCCCCCCCTTTTTTTTAATTAGGGAAGGAGATAATCTAAAAGTTAATGAATCTTCATTTATTTATCATATTATTGCTTCTCTCCTTTCTATGTTGTTGCTTAATTCAGACTTAAAAAAAAAAATCCTAAACTGAGGATATTTTCCCATTGATTTTCAGAGAGTGGAAGAGAGAGGGAAAGACAGAGAGAAATATTGATGTGAGAGAAACATATTAATTGGTTGCCTTCCGCGCACACCCCAACCATGGTCCCTGCTGGGGAGGAGCCTGCAACCAAGTTATGTACCCTTGACCAGAATTGAAGCCGGAATCCTTCCATCTGAAGGCCAATGCTCTGTCTACTAAGCCAAACTGGCTAGGGCCAGATTTTTAAAAATTCAAATAATATTTATTTTTCAATTGCAGTTGACATACTATATTATATTAGTTTCACGTATACAACCCAGTGATTAGATGTTTATATAACTTACTAAGTGATCAACCTATAAATCTGGTACTCACCTGACACCATACATAGCTATTACAATATTATTGACTATATTCTCTATGCTGTACTTTATACCCCCATGATTATTCTGTAACTACCAATTTGTACTTCTTTAATCGCTTCACCTTTTTCTCCTCACCCCGTTCCCTCTTCCATCTGGCAACTGTCAAAAGGTTTTCTTTGAGTCCTTTTCTATTTTGTTTGTTTTTGTAAACTCAGTTATTGATAAATATATATATTAACATTTTATCATTCATTTTTCCCTTTGGAAAAACATTAAAATTAGCTGATGCATAAGATAGTTTCCCTCTTTCTTACTACTCAAAGGTAACAATAAAAAGGAATGTGTGGAATGTTTAACCAAGACTGGTATACTAACAGCTCTTAGCTGCTAAGTTATAGAAAGCTTAATATTAACACTAATTAGTTAACATTAACACTGATTAATTTGTCCATGATACTTTGAAGATACATGTAAGAGGGAAGTGGAAGAATGGAACTGAGTCAGAATCATGAGGTTGGAAATTGACTTCTGGTCTTTTGTGGCTATGTACAAACTCACTTGATCACTCTGCTTTTTCCCTTTATTCATTAAATAAATATTACTAGTTTAATAGTTATAGCCAACAATTTTTTTGTATATGCCAGGATAAGTACTTTTTACATAAATTATTAGCTAATTATTATAAATTGCTTACTAGTTACAATGCTAGAAAAATAAGGCAGCATTTTGTGTGATCAGAGCTGTTTTCAGTTTGCCTTGTAGTTGGTTGCTAATGCCTTAGAATATGCCTGTTTGTAAATTTTCCTGCTGTCTTATGCAAGAGGAATTGATTTTTCTAGATATAGCAATAGAGGCATTCTTGTAAAAAGCAGTTGTTGTGGCCCTTATCATAGAGTTGTTAGAAGTACTTTAAGTAAATTAACATGCTTTTAGTTTTTAAAAAGTGAGAATAAGGGAGTTACTTGCTCTATCCTCAAAGGAATCCATGATTCTTGGAATTAAAAAACAAAACAAAACTGTCCTGAAGCCTGGAGAGAGGCAGCCAGAGCTGTGGATGAGGACTTCATATGAACTGTGGGTCAGGACAGGGTTGGGAGTAGTGAAAACACCCTTAATCTTGCCTGCAATTTTCATTAGCTTTAGTTCCTTAAAAGTGTGGGTTTTTTGGTAGAAATAAGAGTAAAGCCCTTCTCTACCTCATGCAGTAATCAATAGCTACCACTAATATTAAAGTGTTAAGTGGAAAACTTAATTTATTTAACAATTGGAATTTGACAATAAAATACAAGGGAAATAAATAGCACAGAGAACAAGTTTCCTTTATGATTTTCAATGGTAAATATGAGATAACTGCACATTTTCCCATTTCAGTGGATACTCCATTTCTCCAAAGGTTATCAAACATTCAAATGACCAGATGCCATTCTTTGCTTGGATCTAGAGACCCTAATGTTTACTCCACAAAATGACTCCTTACCTTTAATAACATGGAACTCAAAGTCATAGTTATTTCATCTTTCTGCCATGAGTATCACCAACACTATTAGATCTGTAGTGAGGCTAGTATGAAGATGTCATGGGAAGAATGACAATGACAATGAAAAATACTGGTTTTAGTTCATTATTATTATCAAAGGAGTTGTAGAGAACTTTGAAAAACACATGGAAGAAATTAATTAGACATCCTAATACTAATAGATAAATCATTAATGCATTTTCAGCCTTTTTTCTATGTACTATAAAATTAGCTCTCAATTAAGTGAATAATGAATTGAGGGAGGGAGGACTTTTAGAATCTTAGGTCATGGTTAAAATTATAAGCAAGTCATCATCATCTAAGGTGGCTTATAGGGAACTAGGATTACTGCTGGCGTAGGTAATTAGGCAGTGGTGTTAGTACTGATAGGTATCTCCTGGGGAGATTGGGGTCATAGCTTTATGGCTGGTTTGCTGTTTGGGCAAAGGAAGAGATCAAGGATTGGACTCTTGAATTTCCTATCTCTTGCTTGAACCAGAAGAGCCTCTCTCTGGGTTTGGTCAGGATAGGCATTTGATCAGTTGTGGCCAAATTGTAAAGCCTCTAAAGTGGAAAGGTGTCTCAATCCCTGCCACATCACAGTCAACATTAATCTGAACACCAGATATTCTCCCAGCAATTGAGAGTTCATACACAATATACAGTTCTGTATTCTTTCTATGTGAAATAATTTTTATTATGATTTCAGTATAATGGTAATGAATCATCTTGAAATTAGAAGAATGGTTCAGGCTGGTGTGGCTATCCTAGTCAGGGAACTGGATAGGTTTTGCTGGAAACATTTGAAAGAAGCAGGAGCTAGCAAGATTGGGAGTGGGTTCATTTGTGGAATAAATAACCTAATTTTTTTATTTTTTATTTTTATGAGAGGTTAATTGAGCCAAACTGATGACACATGCCGGGGAGCAAGATCTCAAATGTTCCTAGCCCAAATAATTTAATATTTAACAATTCCAGAAGTGGACTGACATTCTGTCAGTAATACAAAGAGACTGTTGAGAAATTTGCTATGTGATTTTCCATATATAGGCTGTTGCACTTTACATGATTTATTCACAGTGTATATATTAAGTCTAATAGAAGTTTCTTTCTTTCTTTCTTTCTTTCTTTCTTTCTTTCTTTCTTTCTTTCTTTCTTTCTTTCTTTCTTTCTTCTTCTTCTTCTTTTTTTTTTTTTTCTTTCACAAAACAGCCTTTATTGACAGGAAGGTGGGAGGAAAGATTTGGATTTAGGAATGCACATTTGGATGGGTGCAACTCCCATCTTGGTCACCAAAGAAGTTTCTTATTATTTTTAAAATTAGAACTTCTGAGATTGGATCTTTGGAAGAAGATCGACTACCTGTTTCATTATAGAAATGTCCAGTTAGAATACTAATTTATTCTTGTAACAATTTTAAAAAATTGAAGTTTTTACATGTTAACTAGTATATTTTTTTTTCCAGTTTCTCTTCAGCAGCGGGTAGCAGAATTGGAAAAAATTAATGCAGAATATTTACGTGCACAGCAGCAGCTTGAACAAGAATTTAATCAAAAGAGAGCAAAATTTAAAGAGTTATATTTGGCTAAAGAGGGTAAGTTTATAAGTCTAACCCTAACCCCATACTAAGACTGCCTTAAAATGTCAGGTTTCTTGGTAATACATTACTGTCATTGAATAAACTTTGATTTTATTTGTATTTATATTGTATAATAAAAGTCTATTTAGAGGTAAGGATTAAGAATGGAATTGAAAAACAAACTGAAAAATGCAGTATTCAGATTTTTCCTTGTCTTTTAACCTTAATGTTGATAATTAATATAGTGGACTATATAGTTCTGGGTCACAGGACTTTTGGTGCTTTGAATACTTGAGAGATAGCGCCAGACAAACCAAGACTGTTGGCATTCTAATAATAGCTTTAGCCATGTTATATTAAAATTGATAGTTCATGGAATTTATCCAACAATTGTTCAGTTACTTATTCATAAATATTTATTTAATATCTATGATGCAGGCATTGTCAGGTGCTTGGTATACAAAAGGGGCAAGAGTCATATGGTTCTTTTAACTCATAGAACTTGAACGCTAGTGAGGAAAATAGGTATTAAGTAATTGTGTGAGTTGTTTTTAAAAAGGCAGATACATAAGAGTATATATGAGGGACCTAATCTGAAGGATAGGGGAAGGGTTTACATTTTGGGTACTGACCTAGTAAAATATGGATAGGTTTTTCACAGCCTTCTAGACCAGTGGCTCTCAAACATTAATGTGGATAAAAATCACCTGGAGAGCTTGTTAAGTATGTTGGGGTGGGGCCTGAGAATTTGCATTTCTAATAAGCTCATAGGTGACTGCAGTATTGCTAGTCCAAGGACACAGTTTGAGAACCACTGCTCTAGACTAGTAATCATCCAGCTTCGAAATTTACTTAAAATTTAAAAATATGTGAATGATGTAAATTCTATCATATTGTCAATACCGACAATTTAAAACTTCATGCTTTTAAACATATCAAGTGGAATCAATCATAGTTATTTAATACCCATTACCATCCATTTAATAAAAAAAAAATACATGAATAAGTTCTTTAGCAGAAACTTTGCATTTTCTTTTTACATCTTTCTCAGAATATTATTCTAAAGTTTGTTTTTAGATCACGAACTAGAGTGTGCATCAGAATTTTATCTGTAGGCTTTGTTATATATAAAACAAAGATTGCTGTGCCCCATCCCCAAGAGTTTCTGATTCACTAGATCTATAGGATCCTGGAATTTGCATTTCTAGCAATTTATCAGGTAATGTTGATGTTGATTGAGGGACCACACTTTGAGAATTATTGGCCTAAAGTAATAATTTATTCTTAAAAGCCATTCAAAATTTTTTTTTGATCAGCCCTGACTGGGTAATTTAGTTGGTTAGTGCATTGACCTTTGAAGGTTGTGGGTTTGATCCTTGGCAGGGCACATACGAGAATCAACATATGAATACATAACTAAGTGGAGAAAGAAATCGATGTTTCTAAAATCAATAAATTAATTAAAATAAAATGAAAAATTGGATCATATTTCTCTATAACAAAAATAGTATGCAAATTTCTTCTGTGTTGATTTATTAATAGTTATTAAAAGTACACATGCCATAAATATTTTACACGTTTAAAAAAAGAATTATTGACTGGCTCAGTTAATTAGTGTGGCTCAGTGGTTGAGCATTGACCTATGAACTAGAAAGTCACGGCACATGCCCAGGTTGCTGGCTCAATCAGTTAGGAAGTGTGCAGGAGACAGTCAATTGGTGATTCTCATCATTAATGTTGCTATCTCTTCCTTTCTGAAATTAATAAAAATATTTTTTAAAAAAGAATTATTAAAATGTAAAAATTAACGTTGGCTGGTGCATCATCCAGTGTTACCTGAAGATTGGAGCATCATCCAGTGTTACCTGAAGATTGTGGGTTGATTCCTGGTCAGGGTGGACACCAGGCAACTGGTTGATGTGTCTCTCTCACATCAATGTTTCTCTCTCTCTTTTTTCCTTCTTTCTTTGCTAAAAAAAAAAAAAAAAAAAAAAAATCAATTAAAAAAGTTGTAAAAATGATTGGAAATGCATGTCTTACAAAATATATTGGATCACCCTCCTAATTTAGATCATTAACTTCTGGGTGAATATTATTTACTTCTAGAAAAAAAATAAGATTTGGGTTTTTGTTTTAGATATAAGTGCTGAGAACCTTTGGTCTCATAAATAAGTAGAAATAAATAGAAGTATTTTTTAAAATAGCAATTATTATTCCATTCATTTAACTTTCTGAATTATATGTTAAATCACCAAGTGTTCTAGCTTCAAAAATATTTTTATTCTATTGGTTGACAACTCAATTAAGTCTTCCTTCAGTTTTGTCGAAAGCAGACTGTCACCTGATCTGCCAAAAGATGTTACTCAGTTACTAGTCATTCACTTTTTTAGTACTGAAATTAGTATTTTAAATTGTTTCTCTGGTTTGGTATCAGAGTTTTTATGCAACAGAGCAGTGAACCATAGTAAAATTCAGGATGGATTAAAAGCCTTTTTTTTTTTTTGTTAAGTGGGAGAAAGGTGTTAAGAAAAGGGTAGTGAGTGAGCAAGGAGGATCTACCTCTCTGTTTTAGGAAAGAATATTTATGAAATTTGAGGATCTAGAAGTGGATTTCTTTAAAACATCATGTGCCTATGAATCCCCTGGAAAATCTTTGTATATCTGCAGGGGTACATGGGCACTTTGAAAACTACTGTTTTCATCACTTTGAAACAGTAGTTTTCAAAGTGAAGGAGTTCAGACTACAGATTGTAAGTCATTGATGGGTAAAAAAATTGAGGGGATGTGAACAGCAGTTTTTAAAAATAAGAATATAATGGGAAATAAAATAGCACATTAGATTTGATGAGGTTAAGTATGTATGGTTGCACAATTTTTTTTAAAATATGTTTTTTATTGATTTTTTTACAGAGAGGAAGGGAAAGAGAGAGCTAGGAATGTCGATGAGAGAGAGACATCGACCAGCCACCTTCTGCACACCCCCTACTGGGGATATGCCCGCAACCAAGATACATGCCCTTGACTGGAATCGAACCCGGGATCTTTCAGTCCCCAAGCCGACACACTATCCATTGAGCTAAAGCGGTCTCGGCTGTTTGCACAAATTTTTTTGTTTTATTAATAGTTATATATGTGTATGTGATATGAAATATATTTCTTGCTATGAGTTGTGATCAAAGAAGTTTGAAAGCTACTGTTCTTAGGCTTCACAGAATTCAGCCCCGGGTTGGAAATGCTTACTGACACTAGTATGGGGTGGGGATTTTTTTTCCTCCTGGCTCACAGGAGGCTGTTGCTGTTTTGCTTTGTTCCTTCATAGGCTAACAAGGAGGTGGTAAAGCTGGTATTTTGTTTAGGCATGCTGGCAATCTGTAAGATACTGTAGAGGTTGGGATGAATGAGATACGGTTTTTATCTTTCAGGAAGTATGGTCTGCTGGGGTAGGTAATACATTTTGCACAGTATCATCATTGTTTGAATATATATTAAATATTATGAGAAATTCTGTCCAATTCTTCATGTTCATTTGAATTTGTTAACCTTTCCCTTTTAAAATTTGTTTTAACCTTTAATTGATGAGACACCACTTTAAACTCTGTGCAATAGAGTTTATGTTCTTGTTAGGATAACCTGTAATACCTTTAATATGTGTGTGTATATATATAGTCATGGCAGTATTTCCTCTGTGATACTGGCTGTTGACATCTTATTTTTCCTTCACCTCTCATACCAGTAATTCTGTAGCTTGATCCAGATTAAGTTAACCTTGTCCAAAATTGGTTCATTTGCTTTCTCTTTTTTTCTATTCCTAAATAAAAGTGTTAGAATTTCCCTTTTACTATTCTTTGAAATTATAAAATTGACTTTCCTATAAAATTCTGGAGAAATGAAAATGATCAAGAACCTCTCATTTCTGAAATGCATTATCAATTACTGATCTAAACCACTTGTAATGTGTATTCATTCAAAAAACATTTGATGTGTTAAAGTTGCTTTGAATACACTTAGACCCAATAAATCTCTTTGGAACTATTGTATCTTTACTATTTGAAGTTTCCAATGAGCTTAAGCTGGCCAATAAAGAACAGTTGAGGTAACTTTTTACAAAATTTCAAAAGGAATAATGTGAAACTTTTTGAGAGCTTTGGTCTAGTTTCTAAAGAAAATGCATAGTATGTAACAGGTAAATGTTGTTTTAGTGTTTGTCTTGGCTGTTTGCCTTTATTAGAATAAAAATCAAATTTATTTATTTATTTAAAGCCATATTCCATAATAAAATTTAATCAGCAAATCTGTTGTAAGACAAAGAATTCATACATTTTCCAGCCCTAAAGAGTAACACAGTCACATATATTCAACATGTTTTAAGATAATGCTTAATAGTATGTAGGAAGATAATATTACTTACAAACTTTAATATATTATGAATTAAAACATATTCATATTATTTTGTAAACAAAGAAGCAATTTTAAGCAAAAATGAATTTCCTTTAAAAGCAAATATGAATTACAGAATCTGTCCTTTAAAGAGGGACAATTTCAACTAGTCCATCTTACAAGCAAAAATATTTATAAAATGCCTACATGCTTCTCACACTCATAGCATTTATGTTTACTTTAATTAAAGTTTTATTCATAACATCCCTAGGTTTTTTTTTGATTGTTTTTTTTTAATTTCCATATAGAACTGTCTGGAATAGAAAATTCTAAATATCAGAATCTATGGTTATAAACTTTCACATTCAAAAGTGCAAGTAACAAATTCTAGTTCTACAGCAATAAAAATTACAACTTAGATGTCCCTTTTTGAGAGCTTGTTTTGGAGGTTCTAGCAGGGGAGCGCAGCTACTAGTATACCCTTGACCGAAGACCAGTCCTCTCCTCTTGGGGGAAAGTCGTCCTCTTCGAGCGCACAGCTTCGGGAAGGACGCACATGGATCGGTGAGGGAGGAGGGGGACAACCACCTAGCCAGCCAGATCAGCCAAATCAACCCTGGTGACCAATGGGGTGCAGATGTCGCAGCCAGATCGATCTCACATCCAGATGTCCCTTTTTGAAATAACAGTGATGGAGAGTTAACAACCACAGGTAATCACTGAATTGTAACACATGTAAAGATTAGGAAAATTTCAAGTGTTCCTAAGTATCTATCATTATATAAAAATGAGCATTTTACAACATTATGATTTCAATAGCAAGATACAGGCAGACATACAAATATTTTTTTCAATTAGCAATAATCATGCCTGGAATAAACCTCATTGGCTATGAGGTTTATTCCAGGCATGATTATTCCTGCCACTGCTCAAACTACTACTTCTTTTTTTCTTTTTTTAAATTGATTTTAGAGAGTAAGGAAGGGAGAGAGAAAAAGAGAAACAATTGATGTGAGAGATACATCAATCAGTTGCCTCCCTACCTTCCTTGACGGGATGGAACCTGTAACCTAGGTATGTCCCCTGACTAGGAATCCAAACCAGGGCACTTTTGAATGTGAAAGTTTAGGACACTAACCAACTAAGCCACATCGGCCAGAGGTAGATAGCCGTTTTTCCTTCAAGATACTTTAGATAATTACTTTCTGCAATTAATGTTAAAATTGTGTTTTGCTAGTGTGTCAAAATATTTTAATAGTGGGAACAAAGTGATGTGAAACTGATGTTTAGAGACTAAAGATTTTTTAAATGACATTTACTTAAAATTAGCATGACTAGGTTCTCCCAGCCCCCATTATTTAGAACCAGATTGTTAATTCTTTTGATTGATAATCATGAATATTTTCACTTTTAAAAGTTCTTTAATTGATAATATCTATTGGATTTTCAAGTACAGTGCTTATAACTTTATACAGAAGAGTGTTGCTTATCCTGGCTTAAAGGCTTGTGAGTCCCTTAAACTCATACAGTTGGTTAGTAGTACAGTTAGATCTTAAATTGTTTTTATGGTTATTTGGCTCAGTTATTGTGCTTTTAAAGGAAATTGATGGTTTTCAAAATATGAACTGGTGTTTTTTTTTTTTTTTGCATAAATGTCTCATAACTTTTAAATGTAAATAGATAAGAAAAAGAAGTTGACTGGGAAAAGTTTTCTAAGAGAAGATAGAGTTAATATCCAGTATATATAAAATTCTCTTTGAAATTAGAAGAAAAATAATTTATTAGAAACACAGTAAAGAATATCACCAAAGAGGGAATACTGTCCTTAGTAATTGTATAAAAAGATACTCAACTTGTCTCTCTTAATAGGGAAATATAGATGAAAACTATTACCATATTCTACCTATGATGTTGGCAAGAATTTTAGAAAATGGAAAATAGTGGTTATTGGTAAGGATATGGGAAAAAGATACACTCCTATATACTGTTGATAGGTTCATCTTTTTTGGAAGACAGTTTAGCCAAACATGTCTTACCTAGGCTTAAATCATGTAGTAGACACATCAGATCAAATTAATATTTAAAAGACTAGGGGCCCAGTGCACGAATTTGTGCACCTTGAAAGGAACTGTGGGCCATGAGCTGCAGTGGGCATAGGGGCAGGTCTCGACCCACCTTCCTTGCCCCTGCCCAGCCCCTATCACTGCAGCCCTGGTCCCCTATCTGCCAGCAGCCCTGCTCCTGCCACTGCTGCTCCCACGTGCTGATGGTGTCAGCAGCAGGTGCAAGTGGTGGCTACTGCCCAGATTGCCCCTTAGGAGAAGGGGTAAGTGGAGAAGCCCTCAGGGGTGATCAGGGCCAGCAACTGCTGCTCATACCTACTGACTGCACAGAGTGATCAGAGCTGGCAGCAGGTGGAAGTGGGGTTGGTGCCAGCCGCAGGTGCAAGCACTGGGCGGGACTGCAGCACATGAAAGCAAAGAATTTTCAGTGACCTCCAGAGGCTTGCCCCAATGACAGTGACCAGTGCCCTGCCTTGGTCGGGCAGCCCCACTTTCCTGCTCCACCATTCTACCACGGCTGACACCCACCATGTTCCACACTCTCGCCTGTGGCCAATGCCCGCCATGTTCCTTATGTGCCCCAGGTGATTGGTCTATATCCATATTAGGGTTTTATATAGATAGATTAGAGGCCCATTGCATAAAGAAATTCATGCAATAGGCCTTCCTTCCCATGGCTCCCAGCACAGGTTTTCCTCTGGTACCCAGGACCCAGGCCTTCACTCCGGAGTCTGCAGTCTTTGTCGCTGCAGCTGGAGTGCTGCTCCTGTAGATCCTTTCACCCTTTGCCCTACCTCTCATAGCAGGCGTCCTGCAGCCCGGCCACTCTGCACCTGGAGCAGCTGGGCAGTCTCTATCTTTATCTTTCTAATTTGCATATTCTCTTCTGCTGGGCGTAGCGGAGTAATGGTCAATTTGCATGTTTCTCTTTTATTAGTGTAGATGGTAAGGGGAGGCTGATAAATTAATTATAACTTTAAAAACTTGGATCTAGTAATTGCCATGCTTTCTTTTATGAACCATTTCTTGAATGTCTATTTGTGTAAGGTACTGTACTAGAAATCATTTTCAATAAGTTGTCTTATCATTAAAACAACCGTCTGAGGTGGGAATTTTGTAAGATGTGGAATGGAGGCCATAGAGATTAAGTAAGCTCATTTAGCTCTAAAACTATGGCCTGAATCTTTATCTGGTTTCATAGTTAATAATTGATTTTTGATATCCAGCATACCTTAAATCTTTATTAAAATTATTTTATTTTCTAACTTAATATTTTTCAATTTAATTCCTTACTTGTTCATTACGATGTTAACATTTTAAATTTAAATGCTTTGTTTCTTCATTGTAGTGCCAGTCTGATAAAAGTGAGCCCCTCCTTAATGGAAAGTGTTTTACTTTTCTTCCAGAGGATCTGAAGAGACAAAATGCAGTGTTACAAGCTGCACAAGATGATTTGGGACACCTTCGAACACAGCTGTGGGAAGCACAAGCAGAAATGGAGAATATCAAGGCCATTGCCACAGTCTCTGAGAATACCAAACAAGAAGCTATAGATGAAGTAAAAAGACAGTGGAGAGAAGAAGTTGCTTCCCTTCAGGCTGTTATGAAAGGTAAAAAATGGTTGATCTGTTTTATGATTTTTAAGCTACCTGATTCTGATGATTGAGAACATTTTCAGGGTTTTATTTGAAGCTATATGTTTGTGTGTGTGTGTGTGTGTGTGTGTGTGTGTGTATAAATATATAATATATATATTATTTTACCCAAAGATTAGTTGATTTTAGAGAGGAAGGGAGAGAGAGAGAGAGAGAAATATTGATGTGAGGGAGAAATATTCATTCTGTACATGTCTCAACTGGGTATTGAACCTGAAACCTGGGTATGTGCCCTAACTGGGAATCAAACCTGTAACTCTTCAGTGCATGAGACGACACTCCACTGAGCCATAGCGAAAGAAGAGGGCAATGCCAATGAATAAAGCTGTATGGGCACGGGAGTATGTAGAACTGGAGAGATCTCCAATGCAAAGAGTAAACCTATTATTTATACTTATTCCAGCTAATTATTGCCCATCCAGTCCAGTGTTGTCATGTCTTTTACATTTTTAAGAAAAATTTAGGTTTTTATGTGAAAAATTTTCTGCAGTTTATGAAATAAAATGGCCAATGGGTTAGAATAGGCTTTATGGGCTGCCAGCTTGTGACCCTTGGTCTAAAGGAAGAGTAGTAATTTAAGTCTCTATCTGCTGGCATATAGTGCTTAATTACTTCCTGCAATTTCTGAGATGATGATATTAAAATGAAGTTGCTGCTGAATCTTTGGGTTCCTGAAATTAGTTTTATTATAAATGTGAAATAGTGATAACTTTTCTTCTTCTGACTTACCAGTTGTGTGTCATTTCTGCATTACTGCTCTTTTAATTTGGATGGTTAAGTCTAGCCCTATTTCTGAGTTTGTGGTTATCACTTAGCGATTATAGTGGCTTACACAAATAGGAGTTCCTTTTACTCACAGAAGAAGAAACCCAGAAGTAGGTAATCTTCAGCTGGTTACAGTGATTCCACAATGTTCCTAGTGTTCTAGTCTTCATTCTGTTCCTTCTTCCTTAGTATGTGGTTTTCAACCTCACTTTGCCTCATGGCTGAAAATGACTGCTCCTCCTTCAGTCTGCCTTAGAAAAGCAAACATTGGCGAGAATATGTCACCTTTCCTAAGCTTTCCTCATCTCTAAAATAATATGACACAGGTTTATTTGAAGATTAGAGATGATGATTTAAAGCCCATAGTAACATTTTTACACATAATAACTAGAAATGTAGTTAAATTTTTTAGTGAATTAAAAGATTTCCAGAAATTAGACAAAAGCTCTTTATGTAACTACTTAAATTTTAGTGTACCAGAACATTTTTTTCATAATGCGTAGACATGAAATACTTGGTGGTGTTTTATAGAAACAGTTCGTGATTATGAGCACCAGTTCCACCTTCGCCTGGAGCAGGAACGAACACAGTGGGCACAGTATCGAGAATCTGCAGAGAGGGAAATAGCTGATTTAAGGAGAAGGTTGTCTGAAGGTCAAGAGGAAGAAAATTTAGAGAATGAAATGAAAAAGGTATGAAGGAATGTATTTATCTATAAATATACTTGAATCCAAATGCAAGATGTTTTAATATTGTGGTAATAGAAGATAGATTTTTATGTTTTTTTTTGTTAGAGGAATTATTTGGACACAAACCTAACTATAGTACTGGGTAATTTGATGCCCTTTCCACAAATATTTGTATGGGAAACTCCCTTACCTTCTTCAAAACTTTGACTAAATATATCCCATGAGGTCTCTCCTGTCCAGCCTATTTAACATTACAACCTACCCACCGTCCTCCTCTGATTACGCGTATTCTCTTCCAATTTTTCATTTTCCATAGTGCATATTTTATAATATATGTAGCATTCACTTATTATTTTTACTTAACTAGAGGCCCGGTGCATGAAATTCATGTACAGGGGGTAGGAGGGTGTCCTTCAGCCCAGCCTGCACCCTCTTCAATCTGGGACCTGTGGGATAAGGCCTAAACGAGCAGTCAGACATCACTCTCACAATCTAGGACTGCTGGCTCCCAACCGCTCACCTGCCTGATTGCCTGTCACCACTTCTGTCTGCCAGCTTGATCACCACTCCCCTGCCAGCCTGATGGACACCTAACTGCCTTCTCCTGATGGCCTGGTCACCTCTAACTGCCTTCCCTTGCAGGCCTGGTTGTCCCCAACAGCCCTGCCCTGCAGGCCTGATCCCTTCCAACTGCCTTCCCCTGCTGTCCCGATCAGTCCTAACTGCCCTCCCCCTGTCCAGATTGCCCCTCGGGAGCAGGCTGAAGTGGAGGAAAAGCCCTCAAGGATGATCAGGACCACCAGCAGCAGGTGGGTTAGGTATCACAATGGTCGCCCCCAACTGTCCCCCCACCAGCCTGGTCATCCCTCACTGCCCCCCTCTACTGGCCTGGTTGCCTCTCTCTGCCCCCACTGCTGGCCTGGTGCGCCCCCCTGCCCCAGCCTGGTTGTCCCTCACTGCCCCCCTCTACCACAGTGGGGGTAGTGAGGGGCAACCAGGTTGGTAGAGGGGGGCAGTGAAAAATGACCAGGATGGTAGGGGAGCAGTTAGGGTAACCAGGCCAGCACGGAGGGCAGTTAGGGGTGACCAGGTCATGGGGGAGGGGGCAGTTAGGGGTGAACGGCCAGGCAGGCAGGTGAGCAGTTAGGAGCCTGTGGATTCGATTGTGAGAGAGATGTCTGACTTTCACGCACTGAGCCTCTAGTATGTTCATAATCATGATTTCCACAATCTGCCTCTTTTTGTCATTTTTAAAATTTATTTAAAAAATATACTTTATTTTTTAGAACAGTTTTAATTTACAGAAAAATTTTAAGGATAGTACAGAGTTCCCATATACTCCATACCCAATTTTCCCTATTATTATCATTACTAATGGCCTGGTGCATGGATTTGTGCACATTGAAATAAATTAATTAGGAGAAAGATTCGTGTGGTAATTACATTACTGTGAGTGCCTTGTGTGGGGCCTGGATGAGGTTGGTTGATCTATTTGGAAATGTCTTTTGTGTGAAGTGTATCCTTGGGCATGTGGAGGTATTATTGATTTGAGAAAATGCTAAGTAACTGATTTACTATCTGAAAAATTTAAAGTTCTGAAAGTTTAAAGTCTCTTGCCAAAAAGAGGTTTTAAAGCTAACACCTTAATTTTAATGGAGAAAGGGAATGACAAGCCCTTCCCACTCAGAACAGATAATCCAATTCCAACCAGCAGCTATCTGTAAACAATGTGTCCATTTACACTTGAATGGCTACACCTTTTGATAGCCTAAGGGCAAGTTTACATGTAAACAAGTTTGCTTCTCAATTCCCAGGGCAGAAAAAAAACAAGGTTTAAAATTATTAGATTTTAAAATTTATTCTTAGAAGTGTAAAAATTTATTAATTAAAAAAAAACACAACAACAACAACAAAAAGATTGAAAAACCTGATGAACAATAATAGCTGTTCATTGTAGTAGAGTCGGTGATATGGGAGGGGAGTGGACTGACTGTTCTGGGGGGAGGGGAAAGGGAGGGAGGAAGAGACTGAACATAAACTGTGCACCTATGGATGAGGACAATGGGGGATGGGGAGGGGGCGGAGGGTGGGGTGGGAACCTGGTGGAGGGGCAAAGAAATGACGAACCTTTGTAATAATATGAACAATAAAGATTGATTTTAAAAAAAATTTCATGTCAAAATAGTATCTACACTAATAAAAGAGAAAGATGCAAATTGACCATACCCTCACAACACTAGCCAATTAGGGGTGAGTATGCAAATTAACCCAGCAAAGATGGTGGGTTAATTTGCATATACAGGCACCGAATGGCCAGGGCAGGATGCAGGCGTTTCACATTGCCCCAGCCAGTTGGGGCCTCTGGGCAGTATGGGAAGGCGGAAAGGCGACCGCAGGCTGGAGTGAGGTGGTGCTGGCAGCCAGGGGAAGGAAGGCTCATTCTTGCACAAATCTTTGTGCATCAGGTCTGTAATATATAATATCCTAAATAATGAAACCCTAATATGCAAATTGACTGAACGGTGGAATGACCAATTGCTGTGATGTGCACTGACCACCGAGGGAAGATGCTCAACATAGGAGCTGTTCCCTGGTGGTCAGTGTGCTCCCACAGGGGGAGCGCTGCTCAGCCAGAGGCTGGGTTTATGGCTGGTGAGCACAGTGACGGTGGCCTCTCCTGCCTCCATAGGAGCACTAAGGAGCAGTAAGCCCAGCTTCTGGCTGGCAGGCACAGCAGTGGTGATGGGAGCCTCTCTAGCCTCCGCAGCAGCGTTTAGGACCCCTCAGTGGATGTCCGCCTGCCAGCTTAGGAGGGGTCCCAGACTGTGGGAGGGTGCAGGCTGGGCTTGAATCACTTGTCCCTGCTTGAATTTTGTGGACCAGGGATCTAGTATCCATAATAATAAAAGTGTAATATACTAACTAGACCAAACATCCTTCTGGACCACCTTCTGGATGAAGCCAGGGCTGTGATGGAAGCCCGGGTCCTGGGTGCCAGAGGGAAACCAGTACTGGCAGCCTAGGGAAGGAAGGCCTACTCATGCACAAATTTCATGCACACTAATAAATATATTAGTATGATACATTTATCACAGTTAATAAACCAATATTAATTTATTATTAAAGTCTATTCTTTAGTGTTCAGTTTTTATTAGTTTTTCCCTAATGCCTTTTTTTTTTTTCTGTCCCAGGAACCACTCCAGCATACCACATTACATTTAGTCATGTCTCTTTAGGCTCCTCTTGTCTGTGACAGTTTCTCAGATTTTTCTTCTTTTTAATGACTTTTCTGTCATTAAACAATAATCTTTAAAAACTTTTATTTGTGATGGTATGTAATACTTGGAATTGTGAGGACATCTTTGCATTAATAAATAACTCAATCTGTATTAAATTCTTTGCTTTTCCCCTCCATTTGCTTTCCTGCTGATTTTTATCAGCTGACTTCTATCACCAATTAGTCTTTACTGAAGGTAATTAAATTTACATGCCTTCCAAACAGGACTTAGTATGAAATAAAATAAGTGATGAATTGACTTTATAAAAACTGGAAAACAAATTGAATCCTTCTCTTTTCTGAGAAATACATTTTCTAGGGAAAAAAATCTTCATTCACATTTGAGCATATATGATATTTAGTGAATAAGGTTACTTTCTCTTTTTACTACTAGAGGCCTCGTGCATGAAATCCGTGCACAAGTAGTGTCCCTAGGCCTGGCTGGCGATCAGGACCAAGCAAGGCTGCTGGCCAGGGCCTTCCTTCTGGCTGCTGGCTGGGGCCTCCCTTCCCCAGGTGCTGGCTGCTGGCTAGGGCCTTCCTTCGTTCTGTGCTGCCCCTTATGGTCACTGCACATCATAGCAAGGGATTGAACTCCTGAGGGGATACTTTGCATATTAGCCTTTTATATGTATAGATGAGGAAAACAGCTAACTTTCTGCCTTTATTTCAGGTTATATATATTCTAGTGTCTTGTTGCATGGGTTTGTGCATGTTGGAGGAAATTTATTAGTCCCTCTGATGCAGGAACTAATGCAGGTGTTCCCGGATGGTGGCTGGTGGGGCGGGACTGGGCCGGACACACCCTAGAGCCAACCTCCCATGGTCTCTCCCCTGCTGGCTGCATCTGGGCCAGCACCACGGCTCGAAGGGCATCTGCAGAGTGAGTGGGGGTCCCTCCATCAGGTGGGACCCCTTGACCTGACCTATGGGGATCAGGTTGAAACCAGCTCTCTAATATCTCCGGAGGGGTTCCAGAGTGCTAGAGGAATCGGGCTCCCTCTTCTCTGGTTCTGGGGTGCGTTACCCGAGAACTGCTGCTGCCAAGTCACCAAAGCTTGATAGCTCCAACATTGAGCATTGCCCTTTGGTGGTCAGTGTGTGTCATAGCTACCCGCCAGTCAGCTGGTTGCTTAGCCTTTTATATTTAAATATATGTAAGTTTCTCACCAGTTAACTAGCTAATGAATCTTTCTTATAATCCTTTTTGAGAATGAAGGATGCAAAACAGCACAATATATTTAGAGGTCATTCTTTGGGTTTCTTTCATTTAAATGTCAAAATTAAAAAGATATTTAAAGTTCTCTGTTTAAATAACCAGATGAAAGCTTTTTATGTAGCAATATAATTTTCTAATTATTTTAGAAAATACATTGTTCTATTTTTTAATGTTTAAAAAATAGTCTTTTCAGTAGTTGTAAGAAATTATGTTTTCATTAATTTAGTAACCAGAATTACAAAAAAATATTGTGTGTATTCCTTTTACACATAGAATATTTTCCAACTCAATTACTCAATTAATTAAAAAGTCAAAAGTGTCATGGTGAATTCATTTTTTTCTAAATTCTACATGGAATACATGCAAAACTATGATTATGACTTGACATTTAAAATAATGCAACATTTAAAGTTAGACATGGTTCACTTTTGTGTTTTAAGACTAATTTTAATAAGTGGGTAGGTCATTTCTTAGAAAAGCAATAAATCAATAAGTTGAAGTACTTAATTCTTTTTAACCATAGGCCCAAGAAGATGCTGAAAAACTTCGGTCTGTTGTGATGCCCATGGAGAAGGAAATTGCAGCTTTGAAAGATAAACTGACAGAGGCTGAAGACAAGGTTAAAGAGCTGGAAGCCTCAAAGGTTGTGAAACATTATTATTCATTTACTTAAAACCCAAGTGCTACTCTAATGCCAAGGGCAAAGTTAGAATCATTAAGAGGGTAAAAACTATAATTCAGACTATCTTGAGAATCTTACTTTCTTTAAAATGCTAAAAAATGCCAGGAGATGATTTTGTTCTCGTATTATAAACAATCACAATAGTGATGCTGATGCTGCTTTGTTATAAAGTTAGTGTTTATTTTCTTGTCAGAATGAGACTTGATCTCATTTAGTTTCATACACACACACACACACACACACACACACACACACACACACGCACACTGATTTCAAAGAGGAAGGGAGAGAGAGAGAAAAACAAAACAAAACACCAATGATGAAAGAGAATCATTGATCAGCTGCCTCCTGCCCCACCCTGGGGATTGAGCCCACAACCCGGCCATGTACCCTGACCAGGAATTGAACCGTGATCTCCTGATTCATAGGTCAATGCTGTTCTGAGGTGATGAAATTGTTGTTCTGAGGTGATAAAATCACACATCTTTTTTTAATATATTTTATTGATTTTTTACAGAGAGGAAGGGAGAGGGATAGAAAGTTAGAAACATCGATGAGCAAGTAACATCGGTCAGCTGCCTCCTGTACACCGCCCACTGGGGATGTGCCCGCAACCCAGGTACATGCCCTTGACCGGAATCGAACCCGGGGCCCTTGAGTCTGCAGGCCGACACTCTATCCATTGAGCCAAACTGGTCTCGGTGAAATCGCACATCTTCCCACTATTCTGCCACTTTGTCCAGCATATCCATGCTGTATCAGTTACCTGCCTGTTAGTCACTTAGTAATTGTCTCAGTTTTCAGTATCACACTGCAGTATAACAGTGCTTAAGTTCAAGTAACCCTTATTTTAATTAATGCCCCAAAAGACAACAGTAGTGATACTAACAATTTAGATATGCCAAAGAGAAGCTACAAAGTATATGTATGTATGTATGTATAAGAAAAAATATACTGTGTATATGGTTAGGTACTATCCTTGCTTTCAGGCATCCACTAGGGGTCTTGGAATGTACCCCCACAGATATGGGGGACTATTTTATATAATTTATCTAGAATACATCTAAACAAAAATGGGCAAGATCTTAGTATATGTATATGTGCTGCCAAAGCGAGCACAAAAATAGGCAAGATCTTAGTATATGTATATGTGCTGCCAAAGCGAGCACAAAAATGGGCAAGATCTTTATGGAGTGTATAGGGTGGAGCAAAAGTAGGCTTACAGTTATTTGTTCGGAAAATAATACAATAATTAATAAATAATAATACAAGAATAAACTCTTGTGTACAGATAGTTGTAAATATACTTTTGCCCCACCCTGTATTAAAAATGAAGATTGAATACATGTGTGTTCCTTAATGAAAAAATAATGTATTGTAAAGCAGGCATATACTTAGGAGCCTTGGGTTGTCATGGAATATTTTGCAGATGCAAGTTGTAAACAGGATGAGCTTAATAGGAGCTCAGTGGAAAATGTAGCCAACTGCAAAGAAGAAATCAATGTGTAATTAACCAAACTGTATATAAGGAATGGCTAAGGCTTCTTCTTCAAGGAGACAGAGCTTTGAATGTGAATCTCCTGTCTCTCTTACTTACTGCAAGAAAATAAAACTACCTTGTGACAATCAAAACAAGCAGACAGTATATCCGGAAAATAATCTATAAATTCAAAATTCCACTTAAAAATTCAATAAGAAATTTGGTAAGTAGATCCTAGAATTCATATAGACAAGCAAAGGATCAGAAATATATCCAGCAAAATTTTAAGGCAAGGTGAGGAGAATTGCCCTATCTACCAGATATTAACACATTGTAAAGCTACTGTAATTAAGATAGTTTGTTATTGACTTAGGGATAAACAAATAGACCAATGAAACAGATTAGAGAACCCCGAAACAGACTCATATATGAAAATTAGATATATGACACGTGGCATTAAAAATCAGTGGGAAAAGAAAGGGTTGTTAAAAAATAGGCTTTTAAAAATAGTTAGTTATAAATATGGAATTAAATGAAATAAACTTTCTACCTCACACTTTACAGATAATTTTTTTGTTTTTTATTTTTTAAATATATATTTTATTGATTTTCCACAGAGAGGAAGAGAGAGGGGTAGAGAGTCAGAAACATTTATGAGAGAGAAACACTGATCAGCTGCCTCCTGCACACCCCCTACTGGGGATGTGCCTGCAACCAAGGTACATCACCTTGATCAGAATCGAACCTGGGACCCTTCAGTCCTCAGGCTGATGCTCTATCCACTGAGCCAAACCACTGAGGTTAGGGCTACAAATAATTTTAATGAATTAAAAGCCTTAAGAGTGAAAAGTAAATCTTTAAAACTTTTTTTGTTAAAAAAGGAGAATGTTTTTTAGGACAAAACATTTTTTTAGACAAAATTATTGACTGTGGAAGAAATGATTTACAAATTTGCCTACCTTAGAATATAAAACTTCTTTTTACAAGATGTCACACCTAAAGTTGAAGAGCTATAGACTTAGAAGTTATGTATCTATACCTCAAATACCTGACAAAAGATTAGTATCCAGACTTAATAAAAATTGCTTAGCCCTCAAGTGAAAAATGGCCCAGTAGAGAAATGAGAATAGGAATAAGCAGTTCATAAAAGAGGAAATCAGAATACTTTTTAATAGTCAAAGAATGTGAAAAAATATTGAACTTCACTGGAAATCAGGGTAATGTAAGTGAAAATGGGATACCATTTTATCCTAACCAGATTACATTACAAATTTGTTGTTTAGCCTGGCCAGTGTGACTCACCAGTTGAGTGTTGATCCAGGAACCAAGAGTCACTGGTCCAATTCCCAGTCAGGTCACATGCCCAGGTTTCGAGCTCTGTCCCCAGTGGGGGAGCGTGCAGGAGGCTGCTGATTGATGTTTTTCATTGATGTTTCTCTTTATCTCTATTCTCCCTTCTGTCTCTTTAAAAAAAAAATGTTGTGTTCACTACCTGTTTGTGTGGGACTTTTCCCAGTTCTAGCTGCTGTGTCAAGTTGGAGCCCCGGTAGAACGTTAGGGGGTTTTTGGGGTTCTTATTACTTTTGTTACTTTCTCTTGTAGATGATGGTACCACATAAGTCCCATATAGATAGCTTTCAGTGGTTTCCCCCCATATTCTGTTTGTCACTTGGTTTTGTTTTCTTTTAGATATCCATGTGTTTTTGTTTTTGTTTTTAAATATATATATTTTTATTGATTTCAGAGAGAGGAAAAGAGAGAAAATCATCAATTGACTGAGCTATACCATCTGGGCTGTTATTTTATTTTTGTAAAGATTTTTTAAAATTGATTTTTAGAGAGAGAAGGGAGAGGGGGAGAGAGCAAAAAACATCGATGTGAGTGGGAAAGATGGATTGGCTGCCTCCTACCCCCCCCACCCCCCCACCTACTTGACTGGAAATCCAACTGGCAAATGATGCCTAACCCAGCCACACTAGCCAGGGCTGGTTTTCTAATTTTAATTAACTCTTGTTTAGGACATGTGGAGTTCAAGGAAATTCATGTACTATACCACCATTGCCACTATTTTCCCAGAGTCCTGCTCAATAGCTTTTGGATGTTAGAAATGTAATGTTAATTGAGTCAAATATTTGTTTTAAGAAGTAATAATTGGCAGAGTTAGTGGTATGTATCATTATTTTGTATCTGCTGCATTGACTCTTTACCATCAACTGAACAATCATTCTCTCCAGGTAAAAGACCAGTTATTTTCCTCATGACCTTCTCATTTTTCCTTCCATGAATATGTGTCTGTGAAAATGTCTCCTTTTCATAAATTAATGCATTTGTAATTATCGCACTAGAAATCAAAGAAAAGCAAACTTTATAGAGTATGGTACTATTTTTAACTTTATAAAGTAACTACTGTCTAAAATAAAAACAGCCTAGTGCTACTGAGAATAAGATAAAATGAACAGCTGAAACCGGTTTGGCTCAGTGGATAGAGTCTGCGGACTGAAAGGTCCCAGGTTCGATTCCGGTCAAGGGCATGTACATTGGTTGCGGGCACATACTCAGTTAAGGGGTGTGCAAGAGGCAGCTGGTTGATGTTTCTCTTTCATCGATGTTTCTAGCTCTCTATTCCTCTCCCTTCCTCTCTGTAAAAAATCAATAAAATATATTAAAAAAAAAAAAAGATAAAATCAACATATGTTTGTGTAGCTCTGGAAATACAAATTGGAACTACCTTTTTGAAAAGAAGGTACAAAACTTATGTGCAGTCTCCATTGTATAGTTACTTTCATGTTTTGATTATGGATAATGCCTACTATTAGTTATTTCCCCAATTTCCTATATAAGTGTGTACATTTTAGTTTAATAGAATGTATCTTCTTTCAGGTTAAAGAACTGAATCATTATCTGGAGGCTGAGAAATCTTGTAGGACTGACCTAGAAATGTATGTAGCTGTTTTAAATACTCAGAAATCCGTTCTGCAGGAAGATGCTGAGAAACTGCGAAAAGAATTGCATGAAGGTAAATATATATTCTATATATTTTTTATCTTAGTTTCTAAGAGAACTATGATATTGATGAACAAAACAGTAACAAATCTTAAAATACTATTCCAACATATTAATGATTTAATTTAAGCTTTCGCAGTTGGTTTGAATATTCCCATGAAAATCTGGAGATTTGAGGTCTGCTAAAGATAGTTAGATCATTAGTGGGTTCTCTTTCTTACAGGACCCAGTGATATCTTCACTGGGCATGAGCTCTTGGCTCAAAAATAATGGAGCTGGGAACTACTGCTTAAACTGTTTTTGCCCCGGATCCATTTTGATGGAGATGGATTAGCAAAAGTGATTTATACAAATAATGTAGCCTGGTGTTCTTTATAACATCCCTGTTTATAAGAGATATTTTTGATATCACTAGTTTGGTAGCAGAGAGGAGATACAGAAATTGACTATTTTCCCAGGACAAAGGAAGAAGGCTCATCTTTTCCTCATTTAAGTAAAAATATACTTTTGTCTTTAATTCTTCTACTATTCCTGTACACCTGGGGTTCTTAACTTGTTTGTGTCATGGACTCTTGGGAATTTTGTGAATCCATTTCAGAATAATGTGTTTAATCCATAAAATACATAGAATTAGAAAAGAAACCAATTACATGTGGTATAGTAATGAATATGCTATTGCAATAATGCATTAAATAATAAGTGATATAGTAATGAATCTGCTATTGCAATAATACATTAAATAACAAGGTCTAGCAGAAGGTCTAATAACATAATTTTGAAGTAGTGATGAGCATAAATTATATATATGTATATAATATATAAATATAAAGATATCTATGGCTTCTGTTGGTGATCAGGCCATAGGTATTATTATATTTACTGTGGTTGGTTTCCTACATTAATTGAAGGAAATGATAAATTTCAGTTAGAGTAGCCGAAACCGGTTTGGCTCAATGGATAGAGCTTCGGCTGCGGACTGAAAGGTCCTGGGTTCGATTCTGGTCAAGGGCACGTACCTTGGATGCGGGCACATCCCTGGTGGGGGTGTGCAAGAGGCAGCTGGTCGGTTTCTTTGTCATTGACATTTCTAGCTCTCTATCCCTCTCAATTCCTCTCTGTGTAAAATCAATAAAAAAAATATACATTAAAAAAAAATTCAGTTAGAGTAAGTAAAAATCTAATTTTTCCCCCTCATCCAATTATATGCACTCCATTGAAATCTTATATTTGTTTCAGGTTATGCTAGAAACACATTTTATTTATTTTTTTAGTAACACATTTTAATATGCAGGTTTAGTTCTATATTGATAGAGTCCTACAGTGAATACTTTTAGGTATAGCAAATGCTTTGAAACATATAGTCTTCTGTAAATAATTTAGGTTTGCATATGAATTTTTCCCCTAAATAGTGGAAAGCTGAAATTATATAAGTGTACAGAATTATTTCATAAAATATTATGAAAATAACTCAAAGTTTGAGCAAGTCTTTGGCTTTCAGGAAACATTTTTCAAATGTGCTGCTGCAGTGAAAACTCTGAAAGGATATATTAAAAAAAAAATTGTTATTGCTATTTAAACTATGTGCCCAAACTTTTCAGAAATAGTATAAGATTGACAAACTTTCCTAATATATCTGGAAAAGTATCTGAGTATGTGGATAGGGTAATTTCCATACTGAAAACTACCAAAAATAGTATTTGAATGAAAAGAAAACAGACAAAGAGTAAGCAGTAGCCTAAATTGGTGGAATTAGATATACAGTACAACCAAATTAGTGCAATTGCATATCAGAGGTGCTAGGATTGGAATGTGGTAGGAGGCAGCAGTGTCACAGATAGGCTTCTTCGAAGTTGTTCTTTCTTTAATTATTTTTTTATTTTTATTGATTTCAGAGAGGAAGGGAGAGGGAGAGTGAGATAGAAACATCAATGATGAGAATCACTGATTGGTTGCCTCCTGCACGCCCCCTACTGGGGATTGAGCCTACAACCCAGGCATTTGCCCTTGATTGGAATCAAACCTAGGACCCTTCAATCCACAGGCTGATGCTCCATCCACTGAGCCAAATCAGCTAGGGCTAAAGAAGTTGTTGTTAAGTGGAGTTTTGGAAGATTGATAGGTATTTATTTGTCAATGATGAACATAATATTCAAGGTCATTTGCATGTGGTACAGCTACAGCAAGGTAAGAAAGTATAGAAGTGTGGTTCAGCAGAAGAGGTGTCACATGCAAAATGTAAAGTAGGAGAGGTAGGTGTGGGCCACGCCACAGAGACCTTAGGCTAGGGATTTTGGATTTTATCCTATGGGCAGAAAGGAGCCTCGAAGAGTTTAAAATCTTTTTTTTTTTTTAAATAACTTTATTGAGATGTAATTTGCATGCCATGAAGTTCATTCTTTTAAAGTGTACAGTTCTAATTTCAGAACATTTTTTTTATTCCCCCCAAAATTCTGTATCCATTGACAAACATCCTCTATTCTCTCCTCCCTCCCAGTCCCTGGCAACCAGTAACCTACTTTCTGTCTCTATAGATTTGCCTATTCTGGATTCCTGTATAAATAGATTATATAATTATGGTCTTCTCTGAAGGGTTTTAAATTTGCAAGTGATAATATTAATTTTGCATTTTAGAAAGTTCAATTTAAACAGCAGGGTGGAGGATAGAATAGAGAGGGTAAGAATGATGGCAGGAAGAATAACAAAGAGACTGCTGTTGTAGTTGTCTAAGTTATGATGGCTGATCTAAGGCAGAAGATGGCTGTGTCATACTGCACAGGAGGCAGCGTTAGTAGGTTACTGTTTCATTAATCAGCTTCTGAGGCAGGAAAAGTCAGAAATGTGAGTTGTCTCTTGTTTCTTGCTTAGGTTGAGCTGATAAATATCAACAACACAAGCATTTACAAAGATTCTTTGACTTAGCCTGAGAGATCAAAACTAAATGGGCTAAGAAGGATTCCTGGGTAACAGATTTATGAGTGGTTACTAAACCTTTGATCTTTAGAGCAACATTTCCCAAAGTATATTCCCTAGAATAGCAGTCACCAACTGGTGGTCTGTGGACCACTGGTGGGTGGTCCATGAGGTCCGAAAGATTGGCAACTGCTGCCCTAGAACATTTGTTATGTGATGGCACTGTGGCAAAGATTTTTTTTGTCAAAGAAATTTGGGGAATGCTGTATTGCCTATCATTGAAATTCAGGGTTTTTGATTGGGGGATTTTTATAGTTTGCCATCTTTTGGAGCAAGAGCGACAACAACACAATCAGTTAAAACATACGTGGCAGAAGGCCAATGACCAGTTTCTGGAATCTCAGCGTTTGCTGATGAGGGACATGCAGAGAATGGAGATTGTGTTAACTTCAGAACAGCTCCGACAAGTTGAAGAACTGAAGAAGAAAGATCAGGTGAGTAGCATTTTTATAGGAATTGCTTGCTTTGTTAATAATGCATTCTCACTCATTCACATACATGTGACTGCATTATTTTATGTATCTTAGAGACTGACTTAATCCAGAAATAAGGTGATGTATGCCATTTCAACAAAAATAGATACATTTGAGGGGTTTTGTTTTTCAACTTTAGAAATGGCCTTACCTGGAGGTCACATGTTTAGAAATGATCTGCTTCAGACTGCAGTATGCAACAGTGCATATTTCTGAGAAATTATTTCTTTATAGTTCTGTCCAGTTTTCCTAGGGCTCTTGGAGTATGTTAATCCAGGCCAGGTAAAGAGTAATGGCCAGTCTCTTATTTCAGAGTGTAGGCACTTAGTCACCACCCCTCTTCCATTTACCTCACTTCTCATGTGCTCAGTCACATCAGGTTATTCAGAATTCCCTCAGATGGCTGCCTGTGCCCTGCACTTTTGTATGTACTTCCTTTTCCCCTGAAAACCTTGCTTATCTTCTCTCACAGAATTGGCAAACTCGTATTACTGAACCTTCAGAATCCAGCTGAGTTTCTGGCTCCCTCAAATGAAATCAGTCATTTAAAAAAAAAACCATACTTGTATAGTATTGCAATTATTTGTGAGTTTGTCTCTTCCCTCTAGGCATTAAAAGTATCTTACTCATTTTTGAGTGAGTGACTACATTTACTTCAATAATTCCTTTGGTATTTCATATAAATTTTTGCATTTTTAAATTGATTTTTAGAGAGTGGGGGAAGTAAAGAGAGGAGAGAGAGAGAGAGAGAGAGAGAGAGAGAGAGAGAGAGAGAGAGAGAGAGAGAGAAAGAGAAATATCAATGTGAGAGCCAAACAATTGCCTGCCTTCTACACAACACTCACTGGGGATGAAGCCTGAAACCTGGGCATGTGCCCCAACTGAGAATCCAACCAGCAACCTTTTGGTACATGGACTGACACCCAATCAACTGAGCCACACGGTCAGAGCTGTCCATCCATCTTCCTTCCTTCCTTCCTTCCTTCCTTCCTTCCTTCCTTCCTTCCTTCCTTCCTTCCTTCCTTCCTTCCTTCCTTCCTTCCTTCCTTCCTTCCTTCCTTCCTTCCTTCCTTCCTTCCTTCCTTCCTTCCTTCCTTCCTTCCTTCCTTCCTTCCTTCCTTCCTTCCTTCCTTCCTTCCTTCCTTCCTTCCTTCCTTCCTTCCTTCCTTCCTTCCTTCCTTCCTTCCTTCCTTCCTTCCTTCCTTCCTTCCTTCCTTCCTTCCTTCCTTCCTTCCTTCCTTCCTTCCTTCCTATTTTTATTGATATTTTACAGAGAGGAAGGGAGAGAGATAGAGAGTTAAAAACATTGATGAGAGAGAAACATCGACCAGCTGCCTCCTGCATACTCCCTACTGGGGATGTGCCCGCAACCAAGGTACATGCCCTTGACCAGAATCAAACCTGGAACCTTTCAGTCCGCAGACCGACGCTCTATCCACTGAGCCAAACCGGTTTGGGCTGTACATCTTTCTAATGGATAAATAATACTCCTGTTAATTTTCTACAGTGATCTGAAGGACTGTTCTATGCAAAGTTTCTTTCTTGGATCATTTGAAGAAGATGAGAGGCTTTCTTTTCTTTTTCGAGAGTGGAAGGTAGGGGGAGAGATGGAGAGACAAAAATATTGAAGTGAGAAAGGCACATAATTGGTTGCCTCCTGCACATGCCCTGACCAGGGCCAGGGATTGAGTCTACAATGAGGTATATGCCCTTGACCAGAATTGAACCCGAGATCCTTCAGTTTGAAGGTCGACACACCATTCCACTGAGTCAAATCAGCCAAGGCCAGTTTGCTTTCTTTTGTTTTGCCTTTCACATAAAAGCTATTTCCTGATTTCTTCTTTTTATTAGGGTTCATATTTTGTGCCTATAATATTAAAATATTTTGTTTTGCCCAGCATAGTTTAATGGTTGAGCATTGATCTATGAACCAGGGGGTCACGATTCGATTCCCTGTCAGAGCATATGCCTGGGTTGCCAGCTCAATCCCCAGTGTGGGGAGTGTAGGAGGCAGCTGATCAGTGATTCTCTCTCATCATTGATATTTCTATCTCTTTCCCTTTCCCCTTCCTCTCTGAAATCAATATATATTTAAAATATATAAATATTTTGTTTTGACAAGATGCCCTTAGATGTGATTACAAAAACTTAAGTGTCCAGTTTTCTCTCCTTATAAAGTTCTTGTTCATTTTTGTTTTGAGCGGTTAAAGAACTATAGGAATCATTAAATATAGATTACTGGGTAACGTACATTATTTTTCTATCTAACTTTTAGGAGGAAGATGAACAACAAAGACTTAATAAGAGAAAGGACCACAAAAAAACAGAGGTTGAGGAAGAAGTGAAACTACCAGTAGTGTGTGCTTTAACTCATGAAGAATCTTCAGCGCAGTTATCAAATGAAGAGGTATAGTGAATCTGTAATTAAAATCATTGTATGCATGATGTTACCATTTTAGCTTCTCATACATTTATCAATTACATTGTTCATATGGGATGTGTGTAACTACTAGCTGAAAATGAAATAAAATGATATCTACTTTCAGTCATTCTTATGTTGGTATAAGTAGTACTATTTGAAATGTGTTGCAATTTCTCTCATAGTCTCTGAAATAATTTAAATGTTCTTTTATCCAGTGGTTCCAAAATTAAACCATTAGAAGAAATCTTTAATATCTGCAATATTTTATATGAATAGTTAATGTTGCTAATACATTGAGCTTTTTGTTTAAAAGAGATTATTTAAACACTTAACTCCCTATAGCATATATGAAGTATTAACCAGTATTAGAAAGAATTAGATGGTTGAAAGGACCTTCTAGTCTTACTGTGCTGGCCACTTTATCCCAGCCAGACCTTTCTACTTACTGCCAGTGCTCACATGCCTTGTTTATACTGTCCCCACTGTTTAGAATTTCAAGCTCACTTTCCTACCCCTGCCTCCTTCCGGCCTGCTGCAGCAATTTTAGTTAAATTGGATTAAGGGTCTTACCCACTTTCAGAGGTGTTTTTGTTGAGTTTGCAGATTTACTCTGAGCCATGAATATCTTCCTGGTAGCTTATATTTCCATATTTATGGATTGTTGACATTTTAAGAAAAGTTTTAAATCCTGTCAGACATTGAAAAGTATGATGTAATTGTTTTTCTGCATTCTTTGTTTTGAATCATACACTGAAGACCACTAGGCCTGATTCTGCTATTTTTTTTTTTTTTTTAATAGTTAGATTCCCAGGAGACTGTCTCAACTTTCGGGTACTGCCAAATATTATGTGGTTTCGGGTACTGCCAAATATCATGGAATGTTTGAAAAAGTTTCAAACATTTCCAAAAATATTTTAGCAGGAATATAGGAAAGGGAGATTTTTTGTGAAGCCTTTTTTAATTTTTTCTTAAAAGATCTATGATATATTTTATATAGCATTATTTCCTGACATTTGAAGTATCTTTTAGACTTTCAGATCTGATATTTTGAATATTTGTTTCCAGTTGAGAATTAAGACAATTTAACGTGTTGGTTTAAAGTTAATATGGAATCCTTTGGAAACTTAGTCATATTTATTGATAAGAACATTTAAATTTGTAGGACATCATATCTTTAACCTTATGCTTAGAATATGTTTTTCTCACTACAATGGTATATATGTTCATTATAGAAAACTTGTAAAATACAGAAAGGTATACAAAGTAAAAATAACTGGTAGGCAATTCTGCCCAGAGATAGTCTCCAATAATATTTTGCCATATACCTCTCTTTCCCTTCTTTTTCTGTTTTTATTCCCAAAGTGTTTCTATTTGCATTTTTTTAAACATAATCCAATTATAACTCTACATACTGTTTTATATATCATTCCCCTCCCCCACAATTAAATCTGTTTTTAAAGGTTTTGACACATCAGTAAATGTTTTTGTTGTGTGTTTTTTCCCCCCCCCAAAAAAAGGTAGCATAATGGCTGCAATATTTCAGCATGTAAATGTACCATAATTCCTACTGATTGATTTATACCCAGGTTTTAATTTGTAAAAGTCACTGAGTGACAACATGGAGAGGTCAATGCCAGGGAAAGAAAAGTTCAATGGTATTCACATTCCTCTTAGAAACGAGTCATGGACCAGCATATGTGGTACACCAGGTGAGCCACCTGGGGAAGCAGCAGAGCTGGTCATGAGGCAGAACAGGAGCAAGGGCAAAGCATGCCCTAGAGCCGTTGTTGTTGTTGTTGTTGTTATTTGTTTTATTTTTTGAGGAAAAGGGAAGGGTAAACAGCATCCCATTGGCTAGTTTGAATGAGTCTAGTGGGCTTTGGGGTAGGAGAAATACTGGCTTGGTGTGTAAGAGTCAGATAAAGGAATTAGTGGGAGGTATTGACTCAGGATTAGTTGATTTGTATATGAAAGGCATGTTTGCAGGCAAGTTGTATATTCTAGGAATTTACTAACTTGGGAGGGGCAGTCTCTCCTTGGCCAGTAAGACCCCATAATGTCAAAAACATTATAAAATGTAGAAAATAAAAGTACACTATTTGCACACTGATATAGTATAGTCAAGTTTGTTCATTGTCCCAAAAATGTATACACACTTTAATTATTAATTCTAGTGAGTTAAATCTGAAAATAAACATCAATTGAGCTATCAGAAAAAATGTGTGTATACATTGTTTATGACACCCTATATAATTCTTTTTTGTACAAAAATCATATGAACTTACCTGATTATTTTGTTAGTATAAGTTTGTGGGAAAAGAACTGCTGAGTTTGAGGATGTAAACATTTGTAACGTATTAGAAGATACTGTTGAATCATCTTTTGGAAACACCACAACAGTTTACACTTCTCCTGGAAATGCTCCTTATGCTATTGCCATCATGGCAGTCTGCTGTTTTTCTGTCCTGGTCCCCTTCCCTCTTTGTCACAGCAGCATTGTATGTGATAGCATTGGCTGTTAGGCTCCTTCATAGTTCACAGAATGGGTTCCCAATTCTTATTAGGATACTTCTTTGGGACCTTTGCCCAAATATGTACTTAATATGTATTAGATTTATGTTCCTTAGTCATCTGAATTTCACAGAGAAAAGAAATCAAGAACTTAACATAAAAGTTGGCAACTATTTTACCAAGTAAGGAGATTTTTTTAGACATTAAAAAAATTTTATTCCACAATCTTTTTTTAATTCATAAAAGGAAGGATGTTTAACAACAAAAAGTAGGAAGGCTATTATCTTAAAATAAAGGCTAGTACTTTGAGTGCATTTAGTTTCAAGAGAAACTTGCTACATTTTCCTTGTTTTCTAACCCTCACTGGCTGTGTGATTGCATCACGGAATGGCACTGGCGCCCTTTTTCACTTTGAGAATGTGCTGTACCACATTTTTAAAAATTGAGATGAAATTCTTGTAACATAGAGTTAACCATTTAAAGTACAGCAGAGCTGAAACCGGTTTGGCTCAGTGGTAAAGCGTCGGTCTGCGGACTGAAAGGTCCCAGGTTCAATTCCGGTCAAGGGCATGTACACTGATTGTGGGCACATCCCCAGTAGGGGGTGTGCAAGAGGCAGCTGGTCGATGTTTCTCTCTCATCGACGTTTCTAGCTCTCTGTCTCTCTCCCTTCCTCCTCTCTGTAAAAATATCAATAAAATATATTTTTTTTTAAAAAAGAGTGCAGCAGAATTTAATATTCTTACAATGTTATTCAGCCATCACCTCTGTCTAGTTTCAAAACATTTTCATCACCCCCAAAAAGAAGACCCTGTATCCATTAAGGAGTCACTCACCATTCTCTTTTCCTCTCAGCCTCTGGCAGCCACTTGTTTGTTTTTGGTCTTTGTGGACTTATCTATTGTGAACATTTCACATATTTGGGATCAAACGATACATATAACTTTTGCATCTAGCTTCTTTCACTTTGTGTACCACATTTAACATGTTAATTACATCGTGCTTGAAACTTGGTTTCTGGCTTACCACGTTACCTTCATTTCACTTCTGCCACTCTGTTACTCCTTCCTCTCTCCATCCCCAGAATGTGTTTTTCAGAGTTCTGCCCTTGACCCTCTCATCCTACAGATTATATTAGGTGTTCTGATTTGCTGCTGTGATTTGAATTATCATTATATGATGGTTACTCCCAAGTCTCTGTCTAAAGACTCAAATGTCCATCTATTAGATGGACATTTCCACTTGGATATACAACAGGCATCTCATACTTAACATACTCAGCACTGAATTTCAAACCTTCTCTGACTGCTTATGTGTGGACTAAATTCCTTTCCTTGAGGTATCTGTTAATTTACAGGGTCACATTTTATTAAATACAGTGTTCTGATCGCCTGTTTACTTGTTAATTTTTCATGAAGCCATAAGCATCTTGAGGACAAAGATTGCACACAATTGTATCCTGAATTCACAGGATGCAAGTTGTATCTTGCTCACAGGATGAATCCCAAGTTCCTGTTTTTGTGCCCAGCAAGCAAATAGAGGATACTCAATAAATGTTTGTTCAATAAATAGTGAAGGTTATACACTAATGATTATCATGTGTATCATGTGGTAAAATTCTTTTAGTATATGGTAGTTTTCCATTTTGAAAATACAGAGAATTTTCTAATGTGACAATATGTATTTTCACATTTCAGGAGCATTTAGATAGTACCCATGGTTCAGTCCATTCCTTAGATGCAGATTTACTGTTGCCATCTGGAGATCCATTCAGTAAATTGGACAATGACATGTTTAAAGATGGACTCAGGAGAGCACAGTCTACAGACAGCTTGGGAACCTCAGGCTCGCTGCAATCCAAAGCTTTAGGCTATAACTACAAAGCAAAATCTGCTGGAAACCTGGACGAATCAGATTTTGGACCACTAGTAGGAGCAGATTCTGTGTCTGAGAACTTTGATACTGCCTCCCTTGGGTCACTGCAAATGCCAAGTGGGTTTACATTAACCAAAGATCAGGAAAAAGCAATCAAGGCAATGACACCCGAACAAGAAGAGACTGCGTCTCTACTCTCCAGTGTCACCCAGGGTATGGAAAGTGCTTATGTGTCTCCCAGTGGTTATCGCTTAGTCAGTGAGACAGAATGGAATCTCCTGCAGAAAGAGGTGAGTTATCTTTTTCTCTTTTCCTCCTGATCACTTTGAGCAGTACTGGGTAACTCCGGAATTTATTGTTCATTCAGAAGATAGTCCCTGGAGTCAGTACATGTACATGCGGTTAGCAAGTGGATATTCACCTTATTGTCTGACCCTTGTCATAGTCTGCTTTGGCTATTCCAGGTGATTATGATGAAGGAACTGACTAGCTAATTGCAGTTGAGCGTGAACTTTCTACCTGCAGTCATACCTCTGAAGTGGAGCAGTATGCCTGAATAGCATAGCTAAGTTTAAGTTAGAGGAGCCTGAATTTGCTTTGCTTTGCAGTTTCTATAATCTCAGTGTATTCCAAGATTCCTAGTTTTTCATTTTTCTTTGATATTTGAAGTGCAAATGCTTGTCAGTAGTAGATGCTGAGAGAGAATTTAAAGGGAGGCGGTGGGAAATACGGGAAAGAAAAAAAGGCAACTTTTAATGAGGTTAACTTTTCTTCTAATAATTGTAAATTCAGAAGTAATAATAGGAGATAAAACCTATAATATTTACTTGCATAGTGCTTTACAGATTACAAAGCCCTTTCACATACCTCATCTCTCTTGAGCTTCTTGATAATAATGAGGCAGTCAGGACATTCTTGTCGCCAATTTACAGGGGAAGAAACTAGCTCAAAAGATCAAGTGACTTGTTTAAGTTTCCCCTTTGACTTGGCAGCAAAACCTGGGTTAGAATATAGGTTTTCTGACTTCCAGTGCTTTCTTTTACCCAGGGTTACTTTTCTTTAAAGGAGCTGTCGATCAGTAAGTAGAACAGCTTATTAAGCCCCAAAGAAACTTTTCTTCTCTACATGTGAGAAGGCGCTACTTAACAGTTTCATACCTCCTTGGTAATTGGAGCAGGTGAAGTGGGTAGTTGGCACTGGTTCCTCCTCCCATCCCCTTCCTTGGCTGGGTTTCAGTTGTGAGCTCCACGGTGTAGTACCTTCTGCTTGCTTTGTGTTTTCCTCAAATATGGTGTTTTGTGGCACTTAGTCTCTTGGTGGTAAAGTCATGTCCCTTGTTTTGCTTTCGTACTTGTAACAGCTTATGACTTTTTAGAATCCAATCCTATGTTGTAACTTCTTGCCTTAAGTACCTGAAGAAATTGTTATTCCATGTTCTACTTTGAGTAACATCGGTAAGATTATGCATGTGTTCCTCACGTGTGTGATGTAGAATTATTTTGTTCTGCCTTATAAGAGGTGATTTTGGTGCCCTTCAGGTACATAATGCTGGAAATAAACTTGGTAGACGTTGTGATATGTGTTCCAATTATGAAAAACAGTTACAAGGAATTCAGATTCAGGAGGCCGAAACAAGAGACCAGGTGAGTTTCTTTGGGTATGCCAAATTGGTAAGCTGTTGTTGTTTTCATTGGAAGTGCAGGATTAATTTGTTTTCCCCTCCATTTGCTTTATGAAGTACATCAGTCTTGTTAAATATGAAATAATTTGGTACATGGCAATGTCAGTTACATCTCCAGTGGGAACACACTAGAACCTCTGCTTCTATGTGTCTTTGCTTTATCAGCTTGCCCAACACCCCATAGGTCAGCTCAGCTCTTTCAGAGACACTGATATATCCTTCCTACAAACTTGCCCCTTCTGCCCAAGGCTTAAAAGTGATACTATCATGAGTATATAAACATGGAACATTAATTGAATATTATATTAATCAGTATTTGGAATCTACATTGCTTATTGCCTCTATTTCTTGTTATAAATTTGTTGAATTAATTAGGTTAATTTACATGGTCACAGAAATTAAGATTAGGTTGATCTGGTATACTGAAATTGACAAGTACCTTTTACAAATATAGTACCTAATAATGAACTCCTCAGTAACACCTAGAAAATAATGTGGAATTCGTGAGAGTAGGCTTGTGAAAGTATATGTAAGGAAAAGATACTTTTTTCCTTATATTTCCTAATTGTTCTTTGATTGTTATGAAGATTGTTCCTTTTGTCTTTAACATAAGTTTAGGCATATTAGAATGATGGCTTAATATTTTCAAAAGCCATTGGCATTGATTTCCTTCCTATATGCTTTTTTCATAGATGGTTGAAAAGTAAATTCTAAAGCTGTTTGTGAAACTTAGGTTAGCTTCTAATAGTGTGGTGTTGGAATGGGCTATCTTGGACTGCACAGTCATTTCAGTAGACATTCAACTGTTTGGTATTTTGCTGAATCCTAGGTATTCAGGTACAAATAGAACATAGTACTGACTGCCCGTAAGGAGCTTTCAGTGTTGCTAGCCAAGCTATCAGTTCCATATAGTTTGTTCCTGAGATGTACACACAGAACTAGTGGAGGGACAGGAACATCTAATTTTACTTTGGGCTCAGTTGAGTAACACTTGTGGGTAACAAGTTAAATTTCTTTTAGAACTTGAGTAAAAAGTAGGGAAAAAGTGAGGAAAGGGTGTTGAAGGAGAGAAAAGATGTATAAAAGAGCAGAGTTATGAAGGAAAATTATGTGTTCTAGAAAGTATGAATAGTTCTGTGTGGTAAAATAATGCGAGAGGAAGTTACAGAGGTCATGATGACATCACTGAGGGAGAGGTGATGATTGAAGGGATTTAATTGACTCTGAAGACTAGAGATTTTAAGTCGGGAAATGGTAATGTGATTTGACTTTTGTTTTAGAAAAAATGTCTGATGTTAGTATGGATTGTAGATGGGAGGCAGAGGATATACTAGTGTCAGAGAGGCCAGTGTCCTAGCTTAGAGGACCCAGGAGGAAAAACAGATAATGTATGTGAAAAATGATTTGTTAACTGTAAAACAGAGTATATTCATCAAATTAAGTCCTTTATCTCTCTGTCTCTCTCTCTCTTTTTTTTTTTTTTTTTCTGAATTGACAAATCTATGATTTTTTTCAGAGAAAGAAAATTAAATAAAATTTTGGAGTTACAGATTTTTTTTTATTTTATAAAAGAATTCTAGTACTTCCTTCTAATTGACATTTAAATTATATAGGTGAAAAAACTACAGGTGATGCTAAGACAAGCAAATGACCAGTTAGAGAAGACAATGAAAGATAAACAGGAGCTAGAAGACTTCATAAAGCAGAGCACTGAAGATTCAAGTCATCAGGTAAATGAGGGTTTTTAGAAGGTGACCCATTTTGGGGGTGACTGTGTTGTTTAAATAAAAAAGTTATGAAAACTTAATAATGTTTCTTTCTTGTCCTGAAGATTTGGCAGTTCTGTTTTCCCTCTTAACTGTTTTTTTCTGGTATCTGTTTTGTAGATTAAATAAAAACAACAAAACTTTTGAAGTAACTGATTAATTAATACCAGGAGGCTGATTCTCCTTTCCCCTTTGTTGTTGTTGTTTTTTGTTTTTTTTAAAAAATATATTTTATTGATTTTTTTGTACAGAGAGGAAGGGAGAGAGATAGAGAGTCAGAAACATCAATGAGAGAGAGAGAGTCATCGACCAGCCGCCACCTGCACACTCCCCACTGGGGATATGCCCGCAACCAAGGTACATGCTCCTCGACCGGAATCGAACCCGGGGCCCTTCATTTTTTATTTTTTATAGTGTTCATAATATAAAAACTCAGATATGCCAGAACTAACATCCTTGTGTAACCATATCAAAATCAAGTAATAGGACATTAGCTAGTACACCAGAAACCTTCACTTTCTCCTCCACTTATCACCCCTTCCCCAGAGGTAACCATTGTCCTATCTTCTAATACCATTAGATTGGTTTTGTCTGTGTTTTAATTTTATTTTGTTATTTTAACAAATGAATCATATAGTTTATATTCTTTTGCGTCTGTCTTCCTCTGTTCAACATGTGAGATTCTTACTCAAGATGCTTGTAGCAGTATGGTTATTTTCATTGTTTATAGTTGTACTAGTATATGGATATATTACAATTTATGTATCACAGTGAGCATTTGGATTGTTTCTAGTTCTGGTATATTATAAATAATTCTATTTTGAAATTTTTGTATAGGGCTTGTTGAACATATTTCTGGTGGGTATATGCTTAGGTGTGAAATTCCTGGGTTAGAATGTTCAAAATGTCTTTAGTAAATACTAAGGCCAAAAAGTTTTGCAGTGTGTTTGTATGAATTTATACACTCACCAGCAACATATGAGAAGAATTCCTGTGGATTACAGTCTTGACAAACGTCATTTTGTTATTTTAATTATAGCCATTTTGTTGGGATGTGAATAGTATTTCAGTGTGGCTTAGTTTGCATTTCTCTGATGACCATTGAGGTTATATTAACATTTTCATGTTAATTGGCTACTGGGATATTTTGTTTGTGTATGAGATTCCTTCTCAAGTCTTATGCTAATTTTTCTATTGCATTGTGTTCTTTTAATTTTAAATAAGTTACTTGTTTTTCTGATTTGTTGTTGTTTTTCTAATCCTCACCTAAGGATTTTTAAAAATTAATTTTTAGAGAGTGAAAGGGTGGGGGAGGGGAGAGAGAGAAATAGAGAAGGGAAGGAGAGTGAGAAAACATTGATGAGAGAGAGAGAGAGAGAGAGAGAGAGAGAGAGAGAGAGAGAGAGAGACTGGTTGTCCCCTACACACACTCCAAACGGGCTGGGGATTGAACCTGCAACCCACATGTATGTGCCCTTGACCAGAATTGAATCTGTGACTCTCTGGTGTTTCAGCTGATGCTCTAACCATTGGGAACACCAGCCAGAGTAGGAGTTTTTTTTATATAATCTTCTTGGTGTCTTTTAGTGATTTGTGTTGCAAATGTCTTCTATCTATATCTTGTTTTTATTATTATCATCATCATGATCATTATTTTTTACTCAAGATGTTTTTCATTGAGGAGAAAGGGGAGGTGGGTGAGTGAGGAAGATAGAAGGGGAGAGAAACATTGATGTGAGAGACAAACATTGATCAGTTGCCTCTTTTATGTACCCGCCTGGGGCTCGTACCTATAACCTGGGTATGTACTCTGATTGGAATAGAATCCGGACCCTTCAGTGCGTGGGACAATACTCCAACCAACTGAATTATCTAGCCGGGCCTTATTTTCATTATTTTAATGGTGGTTTTTAATGAAAAGGATTCTTAAGTTAATGTAGTTAAATTTATTGATCTTTTCTTTATGACTAGTGAATATTGACCCAGTTTTTAAAAGAATGTTTTCTTTCCTTGGGGTTATGAACATGTTTATAATACTGTTTGGTTATGATGAACTCCTTTAGCTTCTTTTCTCTGAGAAGTTCTTTATCTGTTCTTTGATTCTAAATGATAGCTTTGCTGAGTAGAGTAATTTTGGTTGTATATTCTTGCTTTTCACCACTTTGAATGTTTCCTCTCAATCCCTTCTGGCTTGCAACGTTTCTGTTGAGAAATCTGCTCACATTCTTTTTTTTTTTTTTTAAGAGAAGGGGAGAGAGAGATTTGTTGTTTCATTTATTTAGGCACTCATTGTTGAATCTTTTATGTTCCCTGACCGAGGAGTGAACCCCAACCTTGTCGTATCAGGATGATGCTCTAACCAACTGAACTACTGAGCCAGGGCTCAGCCAACAGTCTAAGGGTATTCCCCTCTAGGTAACTAACTGCTTTTCTCTTGTTGCTTTTAAGATTCTCTTTTTGGTCTTCAACCTTTGGCATTTTAATTATGATGTGCCTTGGTGTGGGCCTCATTGGGTTCTTGTTGTTTGGGACTCTGCATTTCCTGGACTTATATATCTATTTCCTTTGCCGGGTTAAGGAACTTTTCTGTGTTTGTTTGTTTTCAATAGATTTCAATTTTTTGCTCTCTGTCTTCTCCTTTTGGTATCCCTTTGTGGCAAATGTTGGTGCATTTGACTTTGTGCCCTGAGGCCCCTTAAAGTGCCCTCTTTTTTTGGATTCCTCTTTTCCTTTTGCTGTTCCAATTGGATATTTTCCACTACTTTATTTTCCAAATTGCTGATTTGATCCTCTGCTTCATCTAATCTACTGTTCATTCTCTAATGTACTCTTCATTATAGTTATTGCATTTTAAATTTGACCGGTTCTTTTTTTGTTTTCTGTCTCCATTTTTGTTTCCTATCTCCTTGTTCAAGTTCTCAGTGAGTCCATGTATTCTTCCCCTAAGTACCTTGAGCATATTTATAACCAGTGCTTTGACCTTGGCACTTGGTAGATTGTCTCAATTTTGTTTAGTTCTTTTTCAACAGTTTTGCTCCATTTTTTCATTTGGAACATGTTCTTTGTCTCCTCATTTTGGTACCTCCTTGTGTTTGTTTCTATGTATTAGGCAGAGCTGCTGTGTCTCCTGGTCTTGGCCGAGTGGCCATATGTAGTAGGTGTCCTATGGGGCCTAGTCTCCCTGGTCACCTGAACCGGTTGTTCCAGGTATGTCCCTTGTGTGGTTATGTGTACCCTCCTGCTGTAGTTGAGCCTTAATAGCTGTAGGCATGTCAATGGGGAGATTAACTCTCAGGCTGTAAGAACTGGGCATGACTACAGCAGAGGAGCTGTTGTGCAGGGCTGACCCTGTGGAGCAGGATTTGTTTTAATGGGACTCTGGTCATGTCAAATCTGCTCTTTGAGTGTGTCATTTGTGGAAGTGTCTTGGTGCTCTGGTGTGGTCTTAAACTGGCCAACAGGGTTTGTTGGTTCTAGGGACTCTTGGGAGGGGCTCTGGTGCAGGTCAAAGTCCGCTGCTGCCTATACCCATCCCAGAGTGCCTGGTATGAGCTACAAAGTGATCTGTGATGGTTGTCACTTGTGGTGGGCTTTGAGGTGCCTGGGAGAGGCCAAGCTGGGAACCATAGCTGGCTGCCACTAAGGTCCAGCTAGGAATAACTTAGCAGGAGGTATGGGGCATGCTGAGGCCTGAAGCTGCTTGTGAACCTTTGAGAGATTTTAGTAAAGTTGTTCTGGGTTTGGGGTATTGTAAATGAGTAATACATTTTCTAAAAGTGTTTTTTGTTGAATATATGGACTCATTTCCCTTGAGTATATCTATGAGTGAAATGGGAGGTTTTGCTTATTTTTTTTTTTGCTCTAGTAGCAAGCTATTTCCATTGGTTATTATAGATGTTAGACTTTCACAGTGCATCTGTTTGACTTTTAAAATCTTCTGTATTTTCTATTTTTGGCCTTATTTTATTTAGGTCTGTGTTCTGGTTCACACATTTTCTTTTCAAATGCATCTAATCTGTTGAAATCCATTAAATTTTCAATTTAGGTAATTTTTTCAGTTTTTTAAATCCATATGGTAATTTTTAAATTTATTTTTGTTTTTTGGTTAATCCTCATCTAAGGATTAACCCCCCCTTCCCCTGTTGATTTTTATTTATTATTTTATTATTATTATTATTTTTTAATATATTTTATTGATTTTGTACAGAGAGGAAGGGAGAGAGAGAGTTAGAAACATCGATGAGAGAGAGTCATCGATCAGCTGCCTCTTGCACACCCCCTACTGGGGATATGCCCACAACCAAGGTAAATGCCCTTGACCGGAATTGAACCCGGGACCCTTCAGTTCCCAAGCCAACGCTCTATCCATTGAGTCACACCGGTCTCGGCTTCCCTTGTTGATTTTTAGAGAGAGTGGAAGGGAGGGTGGGGGGAGAAAGAGAGGAGAGTAACATCGATGTGAGAGAGAGACATCAATTGGTTGCCTCCTGCACATCCCCCGACCTGGGTCAGTATTGGGCCTGCAACCTAGGTACATGTCTTTGACTGGAAATTGAAACCTGACCCTTCAATCGGCAGGCCAACACTCTTAACCACTGAGAAAAACTGTCCAGGACCATTTGGTAATTTTTTATTGTTTTCAGTTCTCTGAAACAGATCAAGTATATTTTAAAGTCTACCTCTGATAATTCACATATCTGAATTCATTGTAAATCTGTTTCTGTTATGTTTTTTTAAATTATTTCCTCTTATTTTTATCATATTTTCTCGTGCATTTTTACTTGAGTGGTAGACATTGTATATGAAAAATTGTTGAAACAATACAAAGGCATTTTCCTTATAAGAGTCAGGCAACTAATGGTACTAACAGTCCTGTATCACCTTAATCCTATTAAAGGAATTATAATGATAGGAAGTTGTAAAGGTTGTATTTTTTAAGTTCTTCCGTTACCCTAAGGTGTGGTCCTTTGGGGACCCAATCTAAAGTGCAGTGTTTACCAAGGGCCTCTTTGCGAAGTGGATCCTGGACTCCCAGACAGTCTGCTCAGCTTCTCAGGGTCACATCTGTGTCTTTTGGATTTGGTACATTCTTCTAGAGGAGAGTTGTTCCAGATGCTGCACTCAACACTCAGTGTGCTCACTCTGGATCTGGGCTTCGTGATTTTTTTTTTTTGCCTTATTTTCCAGTGCCTTCAAGAGTACATGTCTTCAATATTTTGGTCTCATTTTCCTAATTCTTGATAGAAAGGTGGTTTCCCATTATCCAGATCACTACTACTGGAAGCAGAATTCAGACAATATTTTAGCTGTGTAAACAAATTTATTTTGATTTATTTTATAATTTTTAAGATTACTATTGGTGACTAGGTCACATGGATTGATATCTGTGGCTAGAAGCCTGTACGTTTGCTCGTGTGGCAGCACGTGATCCTGGGGACTTGGGCACTGCTTTGTGATATCTGAAAGGCTGAGGCTTTGTACGCAGCAGATGCTCACATACCTGCTGATGAGTGGGTTACGACGATTAATACATAATCCTGTACATTAAGTAAGCAGAGATGGAAGGGTTAATTTCAGAATAACCAGTTTTGTAACTGCTATTTTTTGTACATGCCTTTTTTTTTTCTTTTGGTAAAAGATCTCAGCACTTGTCCTAAGAGCCCAAGCATCTGAGGTTTTACTTGAAGAGTTACAACAGGGGTTTTCCCAAGCAAAGAGGGATGTTCAGGAACAGATGGTAAGTTAACATTTAAGTAAATGTTAAGTATGTTCAATATAGTTCTTTTTGTTCTATCTTGAAATCATCTTTGACATGACTTTATCTCCCAGGCCAAAATATGGTTACTGTTACGTTCGCCAGGGCCTACAGAACATTAGTAATGGGCAAGGTCATGTAGACATTATTATGTAAAGACATTTTTAAAAAATATATATTTTATTGATTTTACACAGAGAGGAATTGAGAGGGATAGAGAGCTAGAAACGTCGATGAGAGAGAGACATTGACCAGCTGCCTCTTGCACATCCCCCACTGGTACGTGCCAAGGTACGTGCCCTTGACCGGAATCGAACCTGGGACCTTTCAGTTCGCGGTCTGACGCTCTATCCACTGAGCCAAACCGGTTTCGGCAAAGACATTTTTTCTTTTTAAGCCCTACTTCCTGACCCTCCAATATTCTAATCTTTCATTTTTCTGATTTCAGAAACCTAAATCAAATAAGCTGTGAACCACTATTTAGTTTTCAGTTCCAAGTACAAACTAAAATTTGAAATCTCTCAGAGCCCTAGCAGGTGCAGCTTATAAGCAGTCATGCTTTTCCTGGACAGCGAATTTACCTAAAATAACTCCATCAATTGCCCACGAGTTACAATAAAGCATGGTGATAAATCCTGCTGTGGCTCTGGGGAACTTTGAGAAGGCCATTCATTTTGAGATGGTTGGGTTAAGAGAGCTTCTTCTTCTTTAAAAAAAAATATATATATTTTATTGATTTTATATAGAGAGGAAGGGAGAGAGATAAGAGTCAGAAACATTGATGAGAGAGAGTCATCGATCAGCCGCCTCTCGCACACCCCCCACCGGGGATATGCCCGCAACCAAGGTACATGCCCTTGATCGGAATCGAACCCGGGACCCTTCAGTCCCCAAGCTGACGCTCTATCCATTGAGCCAAACCGGTCCCAGCAAGAGAGCTTCTTAAAGAAGAGTTGGCTGGAACCTCTGCAGAATAGTTCCCCAGATTTGGACCTCCTCTGTCATCTGACTCCCATTTGTCTTATTTCTTTTTTCTCAAAGTTGGGGCCCTGCATCTGATGGCCCTTTGTAAATTATAGCATTGTTGGTTCTGCTGGGATGGTCCTACAGAGCTGCCTCTTGTCCAACTCTTCCAGGGATGACCAGAACAACCTCAGATTGCATGGCAGTGGTTTCTTTTCTTTCTTTTAATATATTTTTTATTATTATTGATTTTTAGAGAGAGAGGAAGGGAGAGGCGTAGAGAGAGAAACATCACTGAGAGAGGAACATCATTGATTGACTGCCTCCAGTATGCCCCCTACTGGGGATGGAGCCTGCAACCTAGGCATGTCCCTTGACTGGGAATAAATTGGTAACCTCTTGGCTCCTGGGTCGATGCTCAACTGCTGAACCACACTGGCTAGGAGAGTTTCTTTTTTTGTTGGCCTGGGTCATTGTCTGAATGACCTTTAAGCTAACCTCTAAATCCTAGCCCTGCTCTGTTTCATACTTGTAATTGTTTCTCAGTCTCTTTCTCTTTCATATTATATATGCACATACAGGGTGGGGCAATTAGATTAACAGTTATTCGTATGGAAAAGAATACATTAATTAATAATGATCCTATATAATAAACTAATATGCAAATTGACTGGACAGTAGAACAACCGGTCACTATGATGTGCACTGACCACCAGGGGACATACACTCAATGTAGGACTCACGAGCCAGAAGCTCGGCCCACGGCTGGCAAGTGCATTGGTGGTGGCGCGAGCCTCTCTTGCCGCCTCGGCAGCACTAAGGATATCCAACTGTGGGCCTAAGCTGTCAGTTGGACATCCCCCAAGGGCTCCTGGACTGCGAGAGGGCATAGGCTGGGCTGAAAGAACCACCCCCCCCCACCCTGTTGAGTGCACAAATTTCGTGCACTGGGCCTCTAGTTCAAGAATAAACTATTTTGCATACTCACATCTACTTTTGTCCCACTCTGTTTTGTTTTTTTTGTTTTTTTTTGTTTTTTTTCTTAAGAATATTGGCTCTGCCCTAGCAGGTTTGGCTTAGTGGATAGAGCGTCAGCCTGCAGACTGAAGAGTCCCAGGTTCGATTCTGGTCAAGGCATGTACCTTGGTTGCAGGCTTAATCCCCAGTGGGTTTTGTGCAGGAGGCAGCTGATCGATGTTTCTCTGTGGCCAATGTTTCTAATTCTCTATTCTTCTCTCTTCCTCTCTGTAAAAAAACCCCCAAAACAGTAAAATATATTAAAAAAAAAAAAAAAAAAGAATATTGGCTCGGGTACATACTACCTTACTCTAAAGAGTTTTTTATTTTATTGATTTTTGGGAGAGAATGAGAGAGAAACATCAATGTGAGAGACAAATATCTGTAGATTGCCTCCCATACACACCTTGACTGGGGATGGAATCTGCAACCGGGTATGTGTTCTGACCGGGAATGGAACCCACAACCTTTTGCTATATGGGACAATTGATGCTCCAATCAACTGAGCCACCTGACCAGAGGTGTATATATTTTCTGAATAATTTGGAATTAAGCTGTAGGCATCATATACTCCTAAATATGTCACTATGTATTTCCTAAGAACAAAAATGTTCTATGTAACTATAATGATATTATAATAAATAGACCCTTAAACAATGTGGGAGTTTGGGCCACTGATTATAGCACAGTTGAAAATCCATGTACTTAACTTCCGACTTCCCAAAATATAACTACTAATAACCTACTGTTGATTGGAAGCCTTATAAGTAATACCAGCAGTTGATTGACACATATTTTGTATTGTATATTTTTAAAAAAAATTGATTTGAGAGGAAGGCAGATGGAGAGAGGCAGAGAGATAGAAACATCAATGATAGAGAATCATCGATTGGCTACCTCCTATATGCCCCCCACTGAGGATTGAGCTTGCAACTGTGGGCATGTGCCCTGACCAGGTGTCAACTGTGACCTCCTGATTCATAGGTTGAAGCTCAACCACTGAGCCACAAGGGCTGGGCTGGAAATTTTCTTAAACTATAAAAATGTATAAGTACTAAAAAGTTTCACTTTCATTCCTTACCTTTTTCATCGTTATCATCCATTCCCATATATGATCATTTAAATTTATCTTTTTTTTTTTTTTTTTTTTCTCTTTACAAAAATTAGCAAATATGTACATATTCTTCCTTCCCTTCTTTCATAAGTTAAAGGTAGCGGGATGCTAATATTTTGTTGTAAATGGGTTGTAAGTGAGCATAAAGCAAAACTGATTTTTGTTTTATCTTTATAAGAGCTGGTAGAATTAACCAAAGTTTATGCATGACTCTGCCTGCTTGCCAGCAGCCAGTTTGTCCTTCAGGATGCAGTCAGTGGTCACTCCTGAAATGTTCTCTGACCCTCTCCCCTAATTAGGTGCTCTTTTGTCCTTTTGTCACTGCTGGGCCCATTCTGTCCTAGCACTTGTATTATGGTTGGTAATCTCTGATTTACTTACCTTTCCCTCCTCTGCACTAAGAGCATCTGTCTTTTATTCCTCATGAGTATCAAAATGCCTAGCAGAGAGAAGTAGCTGCTAAATAAATACTGGGTATAGTATAATCTGCCTTTATGTGTGTAAGGTAAATGACATACTAAAACAGCAGAAATTAAATACTGTTGTGGGATTTTATCTTACTAAATATATAACTAAATATTTAACTAAGTATATAACTTTTATATTGATACAAATTCATATGAACTACCTAAGATAGTTTCCTATATTGTCAAGCAGGAATAGGAGCTTATCCCATTTTAAGAATGAACTACTTAAGGCTCTTTTATTTCACAAACATATATCCTCTTGATGATGTCTAATATTGGGCGTTCTTGGCTCATTCACATTCTTGAGCTTGAATGTAGATACTTGTAATGGAAAATGAAGATACTGCTTTTGATTTCTCTCTACTTCCTGTTGAATGCATGCTGTCAGGAAAGAGGAGTCTTGTACTGAATGCTCTATTTGATACAAGTCTTAATTATCAGACACTTCCATCTAGTTGGAGATACTGTTCCTTCTGGAGTCCAGGATACGGGGAAGAGAGTCACAACTTTTAGGCTTTTGGTAGAAGCAGTGGAGAATGAGCTCAAATAACTTGATCATTGCCTGTCCCCTTCAATGTATGTAAGGACTGCAAGTCAGTCTATGAGGTTTATGCACCCTGTATCCTCAGCCCTCACTTGGTTTGGCCTGTATCTCTGGTATAGCCATCAGCAGATAAGATTTAACCGTTCTGCCTGTGATTAGTATCTGTTTCTATTTTAGGCAGTGCTGATGCAGTCACGGGAACAGGTTTCTGAAGAGTTGGTGAGGTTACAAAAAGACAATGACAGTCTTCAGGGAAAGCATAGCTTGCACGTGTCATTACAGCAAGCAGAAGACTTCATTTTACCAGACACTATAGAGGTAACTTAATTTCCACCTGCTCAAAAATGTAAATAAGCACATTTTCTGAAATGTTTATAAATTATTCTTTTATTTTTTTTAAGAGGCTTTATTGAGATATAATTGACATACCAAATACTTCATCCATTTAAAGTGTATTATTCAGTGGTTTTTAGTATATTCTCAGATATGTAGCCATCACCACAATCAACTTAGAACATTTTCATCGCCTCAAAAAGAAACTCCTTACCATTTATTCTTTCACCCCCCAGCCTTAAGCAACCTCTAATCTATTTACTATCTATAGATGGCCCTGTTCTGGATTGTCACAGGAATAGAATCAGTTTTTTAAAATCCTCACCTGAGGATATGTCTTTGTTTAAATTGATTTTAGAGAGAGGGAGGAAGGAAGAGAGAAAAACATTGATCGGTTTCCTTCCGTACCCATCCCTACGGGGATTGAACTTGCACCCTGGGTATGTGCTCTGACTGGGAAACCCATTGCCTTTCGGAGTACTGGATGATGCTCCAGGGCTGGAGTAATAGTTTGTAGTCTGTTGTGTCTGGCTTCTCACATAGCATACTATTTTCAAGGTGCATCCATGTCATAGCATGTATCAGTTCTTAATTCCTTTACCTATTTGTCTATGATGGACATTTGGGTTGTTTAATGTTGTTATAAACATTCACATATAGGTTTTCATGTGTTTTCATTTCTCTTGGGTATAAACCTAGCAGTGGGATTGCTTGGTGGTTAATTATTTGAGGATTGCTCCACATCCTCACCATTTGTTTCACTTAAAAAATATTTTATTTTATTGATTTCAGAGAGGAAGAGAGAGGGAGATAGATAGAAACATCAGTAATGAGAAAAACATTGATCAGCTGCCTCCTGCACCCCTCCTACTGGGGATCGAGACCACAACCCAGTCCTGTGTCCTGACCAGAATCGAGCTGGGACCTCCTGGTCAGGTATGACTCAGTGCTCAACCACTGAGTCATACCTGCTGGGCTTGTTTCACTTTTTGAGATAGCCATCCTAGTGTGTGTGAATTCTCCCATTCTATGGATTGCCTTTCTCTTGATGGTATCCTTTATAGGACAAAATTTTTAAATTTTGAGATAGTTCCAATTTACTTATTTTTTCCTTCCGTTGCTCATGCTATCAGTGTCATATCTAAGAATTTTTTTTTTTTTTGCCAAATCAAAGATCTGAAATTTATTCTTGCAGAACCAGATTGAGAATGCACCAGAAAAGAAATGTTTTGAATGGGTACCTACCTGCTTTTGCAAACAGACCACTTAACATCTGTTACATTTTCCCTCTTGGCAGGAAAGATTCCTCTCTTCCATGGTCTCTAGAAAACTTATTATTCTTATAGTAAAAAAAAAAAAAAGTAAATCCAAGAAGCCTTGAAGGATGTAGCTTTTAAGCCTTGATTCTTAGACTAGCTTTAGCAGTAAATCTTATGAAATACTTAACAATTTTTTACCTTTCCCCCCCACTGTTCTTTAATATATATACATATGTTAGTTATCTAAGAATCCCAGTTTTTGCTTTATAATTGCTTTAGGATATCATTGGGAGGACTTTAAAGAAGACAGTTAAAATTTAAGGGAAAAATGAGATTTTAGCTGAGTTTATTATAGCAAATGGTGATCACCTTAGAAAGCCATTCTTTGCCATACTTGACTCTGGGCTAACAGTACTTAGCTTGTGGTAGATATTCAACAAGTGGTTGAATGAATAAGTAAATAAATCTTATCTTCATAGAGTTCACATTTGCTTCTGAGTTTATCTTTTGGTCCTATACCCTATCTCCCCCTTAAATTTAAGCAAGGACTAGTAGAAGCTCCTAAACTATTCATGGCGAATCCCACATTGTAAGTCACTCAACATTTTTATTTTTCTGTTTATGAAATAGTTTTGAAGGAAAAATATGAGTTCACAGTGCACATTTTTTTTGACTGGAAATGTCTTATTTCTATAACTTTCTGATGTTAACATGATACGCACAGTATCTACCCCTTGAAGCCCCAAGTGGGGTGGAATTGGAAATCTTTAATTTTTGAACCATTTAAAACAATATCTGAAATTCTGGTTGCAGAAAATCTTTAGCTTCTTTTGTTTATTTTCTTTCCTTACAAACCCAACAACAATTTGTTTCTTTAATCCAGGAACTCCGGGAATTGGTATTAAAATACCGTGAGAACATCATTAATGTGCGGACAGCAGCAGACCACATGGAAGAGAAGCTGAAGGCTGAAATTCTTTTCCTAAAAGAACAGATTCAAGCGGAACAGTGTTTAAAAGAGAACCTTGAAGAAACTCTGCAATTAGAAATAGAAAACTGCAAGGAAGAAATAGGTGAAGATAAAAGTGACATAATTTAGAAGTGGAGGCATTAAGTAAAACTTTTTTCTGATTATAAGAAATACATGGCTATAGAATGTGGAAACAGAAAAGTATAGAAAAGACTTTAAGAACTCTGTCCATTTTCCCAAATGATCTGATATATCCGGTAATGAGGAGTAAAACAAAAAACACAAAACATCCAAAACTTACTTTCTTTTTAGGAGCTCTGGAGGCCTCTTTGGTAGTTGCTAGAAGATGGGAAAGTCAGTACTTGAACCTAGACCACTGAGGAGGGTGACTAGATGGGTGGCATTTCCTTGCAGAACTTTGATGGGTTAACAGATTCCTGCAGGGAATATCTCCTCATACCCCAGTGTTAGATGTGGATATCTAATGTTGAGGGCATTTATTATAGTGTTCATTCATATGGACTCCGCTGTTGCCTGAGCTTGATTATAATGCTGATTGGGGATAATTTTGAGAAAAGGGTGTTGGTTTTCTCCCGTGTTTCGTATATATTTGACTTCTTTTATTATATGAGATTGAAATTATGGTAGAAAAAAGGAGGGTTGTAAGAAAATTTAAATCCACAATAATCAATAAATGATAATACTTCTCCCTCTTTTTTTCCTTCTAGCTTCCATTTCTAGCTTAAAAGCTGAATTAGAAAGAATAAAAATAGAAAAAGGACAGGTGAGTTTCAAATTATTTCCAGTAGCAACCAGTAGTTAAGTATTGAATTCTTTTGTGCTAGACCCAAGGAATAAAATATAGTTATGACATGTCCCTGTGTCTAGTGGGAGAAATACAGTGGGAAAGGGTGTGATGATAATCAAGACCTCGTATTGTGGAGTCTGCTCTGTGCCAGGCCACCTGTCGACCAGAGCGTACAGAGGGGACAGATATGATTGCAGCCTGGAGTTTCCATGGTAGTGGAAAGACAGGCAAAGCATGGTATTGATATGTACTTGAAGCTACAGTAGAAATATGTACAGAATGTTTTATAAATAGGAGATGATGGTTGCTAGCTGGCTCAGAGTCCTCTTCTCTTGGACAGCATGACCCTATCAACACTGGCCTCCTTGTTGGTTGACTCAATGACCTTTGCCTCCACCTGCCCCTTCCTTTCCACAGTCTTTTTTTTTTTTTTTAATATATTTTATTGATTTTTTACAGAGAGGAAGAGAGAGGAATAGAGTTAGAAACATTGATGAGAGAGAGACATCGATCGGCTGCCTCTTGCACACCCCCTACTGTGGATGTGCCCGCAACCAAGGTACATACCCTTGACCGGAATCGTACCTGGGACTTTTCAGTCCGCAGGCTGATGCTCTATCCACTGAGCCACACCAGTTTCGGCGCTTCCCACAGTTTTGGCTGCATTAGGCCCATCTCTGGTATCTCACTCCAGCCCCATGTTGCCTCATCCTTGTTTACCATCCTTTCAGCTCTTAACACCCATAGGTCTAGCTCTCTGAGAACCTCATTCAGATCTTCAATTCCCTGCACTTTTCCTTTGGTTTTAGTGACTTCCTCAAGGCTTTGCTTTCTTTCCTTCTGAGGAGCATCTGTATGGCTTCCTTCATCTAGTCTCCCAGCATCACCTGCAGGTCCCCTGACTTCTGGTCTGTCTGCCGCCCTCACTCGGTACTGCCCTGCCCTGGGTTAATCCTGCCGTGCACCTCCTCCACCTCTGCCCCAGCTGCTCATGCCACTGGAGTGAAGAACACACTGCTCATGTCATCAGTTGGGCCCCAAATGCTACTCAGTCAGCCTTTCATTTGCCCTCAGCCAATGTCTCCCTTCCCCTCTCCCAGTGGGTGTCAGTCAGTCACACTCACTTCACCTCCTCACTCAGCACGTGATGGCCGTGTACCCATCATTGTAGGGCCACCTTCAGCTTCCTGGGCTCTCGATTACTTCTCTGACTTTTCTCCCCAGCCTTCTCTGTCTTGTTTCTCCAGAGAAAATGGTCTGTTTCCACTCAGCGAGGTGGCTCAGTTGGTTGGAGCATCATCCATACACCAAAAAGGTCTTGGGTTTGATTCCTTGTCAGGGAACATACCTTGATTGTAGGTTCATTTCCCAGTTGGGGCATGTATGGAAGACAACTGATCAATGTTTCACTCTCACATCCATGTTTCTCACTCTTTTTCTCCTTCCTCTCTCTTTCAAATCAATGAAAATATCCTCAGGTGAGAAAAAAATAAATAAATAAAACTTGTTTCTGACCAGACTTACTCTGTTTTCCGCTCAGTCATGGGCCTTGAACTTTTACCTTGTTACTGGTCTTTTCCCTTTCATGGATGTTTCCTGTTAAGAGGAGAAAGGTTTCTCTTTGGATTACACTTCTCTCTCAAGTTACCAATCTTTCTTCTTCCTTTTAGAGGCAAGGTTCTTGACCTCCACTGCCTGACCTTCCAGTCACTGCTCAGGCATTGAGACTGGCTTCTGCCTCTATTGCACCGTCGAGGTTGCACTGGCAGAAATCATCAGCTCTCTAGTCACGTCCCATCCTTTCCACTCTGCTGCTGTTTGGGTTCAGACTTCAATTCTCACCTGGGTTATGTAACATCCTCCCAAATCTATCCCATTCCAGTTCATCTTTATAATAAACCAAGGTGGTCTTTACATTCTAACCTATGTCCCACTCTGGTTAAACGCCCCCCCCCCCGTGGTTCCCTTTACTTCCAGGACCAAGTCCTCTTCCTTAGACTCCCTCCTGCCTCTCCAGCCTCGGCCTCTGCACTCAGTAGCTCAGCAAATAGTCACCAGAGTTCCTGAACTCGGTTTTTACTCATCATCCATCACCTCTCTCTGGAGTCTCCACCTTCACCCTTTTCCTTCCCCTGTAAAATTTTTCATCTTTTAAGGATCAAATGTCATCTCTTCAAGGATGAGATCCCTTCTCAACTTTTCTGGCAGAATTAAATGCTTCTTCCTCCATGTTCACATGTCAGAATTCTTTACTTCATGTCAGTCTCTTCTGACTTCTCCATCTCCAGGCCTTAGAACATGGTAGGTGCTTAGTAAATGTTTAATGAAGGAAGTGGGTCTTGAAGAATAAGTAGGAGATTCACAGAGACCAAAGGGTGAGAAGAGCATCACAAGCAAAGCCGGCGCCCAAGGCCTAGGAGGCCTGAGACCTTGGGCATCGCGCTGCAGGAGCGGCCCCTCCGGGCAGGGTGCTGCGTGGGGAGTCTCAATGAGTCCAGCTTTTTCCTTCTCTCTTTCAGTTGGAGTCTACGTTGAGAGAGAAGTCTCAACAGCTGGAGAGCCTTCAGGAAATGAAAGCCACTTTGGAAGAACAGTTAAAGAAAGAGGCTACTGCTAAGGTGATGTTTTTGTTGGTAGTTGGATAAAAAAGCAATGCTAAGAATGGAGGGTCACATCTTGCCCATTTAAAAAAGACTGTTGCTTGGAATCGTGCTACCCTTTGAAAGTTGTCAAGACCCTGCTTGCAGGAAGAAAATGAAGTGAATTTATCTCATTCGAGTTGGGTCAGATCTGACACTGCCCGCTCTGGCTTTTTAGGTGTTGGGCGGAAAGAGCCATGAAGCAAACGGCTCTGCCATAGCTAGACACCTGCTTCCAAAGGGTCATCCATTTGACTCATCAAATACTGCATTGAACCGTATTTGCTGCCTAACTTTTGATTATTCCAGTTAGAATAAATGTACATGAGGCTAATTGTGGGGGAGGTTTCCTAGAAACAGTGTCTGTGAGGTCACCTTTAAGTATAAAAACACCGTGAACATGGTATCTGATAGTTCTTTGTCTGTAGAAATGCTGCCACATGGTCTGCTGAAGGGGAGATAGCTGGGGCTGCCTGGTGTATGTTCACTGAATTTTCATACGCTTGACTGTTGTGGTTGTCAGAGAAAGTCTCCAAAGTTTCTGTCCCTATTGCTGTAGCAGCTCTGATCTTAGCAGCTGCTATATAAACACACACACACAAACACATTTTTTAATTGATTTCAGAGAGGAAGAGGGATAGAGAGTTAAAAACATCAATCAGCTGCCTCCTGCTCACCCCCTACTGGGGATTGAGCCCACAACCAGGCATGTGCCCTTGACTGGAATCGAACCCAGTACCTTTCAGTCTGCAGGCCGATGCTCTATTCACTTAGCTAAACCAGCTAGGGTTTAGCAGCTGCTGTTTGTTGATTAGCCACTGTTACCAGGCTGCTGTGGATGAGGGTGAGGGGAGTCTATGTGTGTGCGTGTACACACACACACACACACACACACACAGCACTTGAATCCATTTTGATTCATTTTAGACCTCGAGCAAGAAGCTTAGGCAACTCGATACCCACCTTCTCTAGTTTAGGAGACTAAGCGATTCTGACCTATGGCTCTTTGGCATTAATCTTCCTTTAAAACTTGTATTTTTTAGGTTACCATTGAACAACTAATGTTTGAAGAGAAGAACAAAGCTCAGAGGTTGCAGACAGAACTAGATGTCAGTGAACAAGTCCAGAGGGATTTTGTAAAGCTTTCTCAGACCCTTCAGGTGAGGCATTTGGGGAACCCTTGGAGTACCAAAGCACTTTAGGGGGTCCTGGTACCCAGGAGAACTCAGCCCAACACCTGCCTGGTCATTCAAGCCAAAACCCAGGAGTGTACCTCACACTTATGCTCCTTTGCCTCTCTACCCTGCTGGTTCTTAAAAGTAAAGTGCTAAGTCCTTGGAATACCATGTAAGACCCTTCCCAACAAGGCCTATCCCACAGTTTTTCACTTCTTTGCCTTATACAGTAGGTCCTCGGGTTACATTGGAGATCCGTTCCTACGGTGCGACATAATGCGATTGTCGCCGTAAGTCGGAACCCATCTACATAAGCACCTACATCGAGCACATACACAGCAATAATAAAGTGAAACAGTAAAAAAATTTTTTTAAAAATATTAACAATTCCTGACCTTTACTTGTGGTAAATAATAAAAAACATAAAACAGCTCTAACCGGTTTGGCTCAGTGGGTAGAGTTGGTCTACAAACTGAAAGGTCCCAAGTTTGATTCTGGTCAAAGGCTTGTACTTTGGTTGTGGGCACATCCCCAGTAGGAGGTGTGCAGGAGGCAGCTGATCAGTGTTTCTCTCCCATTGATGTTTCTGATTCTCTTTCCCTCTCCCTTCCTCAAAATCAATAAAATATATTTATAAAAACATAAAACACATATGCACATATGTCAAAATGACAATACTTTTTTTTTTTTTAAATAAATAAATGGGAAATGGCTACAAAACAATGTATGTCAAGTGCGAGGTAACCCGAGGACTGTCTGTATTGTATACTAGAGGCCCAGTGCATGGATTTGTGCACTGGTGGGGTCCCTTGGCCTGGCCTGTGGGGATCAGTGGAACTCTGTGTCACTGCAACCTGGCCTTACCTGCCAGCTCATCAGGCTCCATCCCACTGTTTACATCCATCCTGCACAGCAAGAGGTAGTGCGAGAAGTGGCAGGGGAGAAGCCTGAGCCCAGGCTGGGTGCTGCACCACTCCTGCTCATCCCAGCCCCACTGGGCCCGCTGCTGCGGCCCCACACGGGCACGGGGGGGAAAAGGGGGGAGTATATCCATGGGAGAGGCTCACATCACCACAGCTGTGCTCGCCACCTGTGAGCCTGGCATTTGGCGCCCCTTTGTCAGCTGAATGGCACTCCCATTGTGGGAGTACATTGACCACCAAGGGGCAGCTCCTGCATTGAGTGTCTGCTCCCTGGTGGTCATTGTGCATCATAGCTACCTGCCGGTCATCAGGCTGCTTAGGCTTTTATATATACAGATTCCACATTCCAATGTATTTTAACTCCTTGTGGTTCCTTATCCACCGGAATCACTCTGGTAAGTATCATCTCATCAGCCCCTGATTCCTTAGGCCCAGCTTAGCTTTGTCCTCCCCATAGACTCTACAGAGCTAGGTGCTCACACTGGGCCACAGTGGTCCTCCAGCACTTTCATGCTGCCTTGGCTCCCAGTGAGCCTGCAGTGACATTTATATATTGTGCTGAAATGCTCTCAGTCCCTCCCCCACACCAACACATCCATGGTCCCAGCACCTTACATTGGGTCTGCTCCACAGCAGCTTTTGGGAATTGCTCCATTTCCTCTAAACCAACCAAAGTAAACTTACAAAAATCTAGGCAGGAACCATGTGCACTTACCCTATATTGTCTCTCCAGGTGCAGTTAGAGCGGATCCGGCAAGCAGACTCCTTGGAGAGAATCCGGGCAATTCTGAATGATACCAAACTGACAGACATTAACCAGCTTCCTGAGACATGACACCTTCATAGCAGGACTCTCACCTGCACTTTGGGTTTTTAACTCATCTTTAGAGCAACATTAACTACTTACTCTTAACTAAAGAAGTCACTAAAAAGGAAGACTGGGGAAATGTGTTTCTAGTGGGAGAAGCCTGTGCAGCACAGAACAGCAAACAGCCGGCTAATTTGCAGCAAAGAGACCTTTCAAATGGGAACACTAGTGAGACCCCAGGCTTGACTCCAGCATATGTGGATCAGGTTCGGTGATGGAGAAAGTGCTGTTTCCTTGCCTATTTATCCAACATTTCCCTAAAGCAACAGCCAGTAGTGTTTGGAATTACATTTCCTGTTCATAAATCTTGGAAGAGAGAATTTTTTGTTGTATAGAGTACATCAGTAACAGTATTCAGCTAGCAAGACACGTGTAGTATGCTGTATGAATATTTTATATTAAAATATGAAGTTTGAGAGCAGGCCATTGGCTAGTGACTGCATTTCCTAGCTCAGTACTTTTTTTTTTTTTTTTTAAACTATTCTTTCATTGGAGGATCTTAAAATGCTACTGAAACTTGCTGGAGAATCAGAAGATGTGGCAGACAAAACCAAGAACTGAATTATGAGAATCTGAAAACGTAGCTGGGGCTATACGTATTGGAAATTGGGTTAAAAGCACAAGAAACTGTTTGAAAGCACTTTTTTTGCTACTTGGAGAAATTTTGTGGGCCCAGAGATACCAGAGTCAAACTGAACTGGTACCACCTGCTCTTGAAAACTTTCAGTTATTGGATCAGTGGGAAAAGATATTAACTAAACAAGCTCTGTGTGACAACATCTAGTATACATTTATAAATCTGCTGCTTGCTTTTAACTCAAATCAATGGGCCGAAGTACTGTTTGTTTCCCAAGTGTCAAATACAAAATGGTGATAACTATGTTTGACAGGTACCAATTTTGTATTTTTCTTTTATAATTTAGACCTGGAGTGTGATAATGCTTATGAAGTTGGGAAAACCCCAGTCAGTCCATTCATCAGTTTGGAAATCTGCTTTGTCATTCCTGTGAGGTTAGCTTTTCTTTGTGAAGAAAGCTTCAGTGAACAGGCTGCCTTGGCTGTGTGGTGTTGCAGAAAGCACAGAGCGCGGTTCCTGTTGGCTATTGACCTGCTGCAGGACTGTTAGCCAGTAGGGCCTTCATGGTTTCATTCACGATAGAGATGGTTCAAAGGTAAAATTGTTTTCAAATTGTTTTTGTGACTGGTGTCATTTAACAGCAGGGTAATTGAAGGAACCTTCTGGTAATTAAAGTGAATTGTCATTGTTTTAAATGAAGCTATTGTGGACTAGCCCAAAAAGATCTTTACTTCTGTCTTCCATGGGACACGTTAAGGCTACATACCTCATTCCTTGGGTCATTGTGGTAGTCTTGTATTCATGATTATGAATTTAAAAGTAAATACTAATTATGGAAATAGTGCTACAGGCTTGCCATGCATGAAACATTATTTTAATTGGTTTACAGTCCCTTTTGTATACAGTACTACTTGGTTTAGATAAAGGAAACATTTATCCTCATTGAGTTACAGGGAATTTAATTCTGAAATACAATCTAAGTGTAAGACTGGTTCCTTGGATAAGCCCTGAGCTAATTTGTTTCAGAATATTAAAATTGGCAGTGTAATTCAGGATGGGTGGGTAATTTATAATCTTCCTGAACTAAACTATAGGTCCCAGGGAACTGCTCTGCTCAGACAAGCTTGCAGATGTTTTTCTCAGTAAGATGGTACTGGGCTAATAAAATCATGACTAGGGAACCACTGGTGGTCTCTACTTTGGCAGATGCAAACTGCTGGAACCCACTTTGTTAAAAAAAAAAAAAGTATCCTAGGAAAACCCAAACTGTTACTCTAGGTTTTGTTAAACATCTGGTATGAAGTGCAACATTGTGCACTATCCTGGCAGGAAACATTTTAATCTGGGTTTTCTGTATAAATGGGAAACTGATTTAGAAGGCAGGATTTAGCCTTTCTGGACAAAAGATCAGTTGGTTTTACAAGTGTTCCTGTGCTTGTGTTCAGTTTGTACACACATTTTTTTCACGCATGTCTAACATGATTTACCTCCTACCTGTGACCTGCCTTATGCGGTTTTCAATTGGCAGTCATTCGGCCATTTCTAGGCAGGTGCAGTATTACCTTTCAGAACTAATATGGCAGGTATAAAAAGATTACCCATGGCTGAGAACAAAATCATATACTGCATACAAAGTAATTTGTTTCTTTCCCCCTTTGAGGTCCTACATTTGTACCTTGTACTCACTCGTAACTCATATCAGGACACAGTGCACAGCCAACTGAGCTCTCAGAAGGAATACTGCCTGTCAGAGTGAGCCAGCAGCGGCCTTGCAGTTGTGGATCCTGGGCTCGGCTCTAAGCAGATTTCAGTTGTAACCGTTCGTTAACTGTACTGAAGGTGTGTCCTTAGAAGAAAGTGTTCAAATTAAAAAAGCTGCTGCCTAGTATTCTGTGTGGCCTTTTCCTTTGAATCACAAGTTCCTGTCCCTTTTCAGAATCACATTCCTGGTGTTGGCACTTTAACATGCAGCTCTAAATCTTGTTCAACTGTGGAGAAAACTCAGAGTTCTTGGGCTTTTAAAAGAAATCCTAAGCCATTGCTGAACATAATCATCAACTTAACCTTATATATAAAGCACATTCCAATTTTTAAATAAAAGCATTTATTCAATAATTAGAAAACAAGTATGAAAATGATGAACAATAACACCAAAGTTCATCCAAATGCCTCTTTATAAATTAGATAATGCTACTGGCTTGTTTTACAGTTTGAGCTCAAGCCTTCACTTGTGTTGACTTCAGGTGCGACTGTTCCTGGTGGTGTCAGAAGTTGACATGATTTCGGATATCATTAATCTGCTTCACCATTTCTCTTATGTGTTCACCCCTGTAAAATCATAAAATCATTCACTTTTGGGAATAGAACAAATGAGTAAGCCTTAAAGAATTTAAACTAATAATGTTGAAATTAGAAGTGCTTTGCCAAAATTAACAGGTTAAGATTTCAGATGGATAGTAATCGTGTTTACTACTTATTTAAGGCTAACAACAGTGGCAAATAGTATTTTAACATGTTCACTGGGGAATACATCTTGACTACACAACAAAATCATATAACAATGAAGTTATCATCTCAAGTCCATCACATGGCTTCTATTCCAGTAAACTTGACATACAAGTGTCAAGTAATGTCAGCTGGGCAGAGAAAGGCTCATTTTGGCGTATTTATTGCAAAGAAAAAGCTACCTCATGCCCAAACCGGTTTGGCTCGGTGGATAGAGTGTTGACCTGCAGACTGAAAGGTCCCAGGTACGATTCTGGTTGGAGGCATGTACCTTGGTTGCAGGCACATCTCCAGTAGGGGGTGTGCAAGAGGCAGCTGACTGATGTTTCTGACTATCCCTCTCTCTCCCTCTCTGTAAAAAAAATCAATATTTTTTTTAAAAAAAACGAAAGAAAAGAAAAAGCTACCTCATAACAGCAGATGGGCAGTATTACTTACTCCTCCTTCAGGATGGACTGAATGCACTTCCGCTGGTAGGCACTGAGGGTAATGGTGGGTTTTTGAGGACTCAGTACCTTTTCCATCTTGCGCTGCTGATAGTCTTTTTTCATAGTAACCTTAAGTAAACAGAACTTAGGTTTTTAGGCTGTGGTTTGCTACATGTTTTCATGGTATCTTTTCACTTTTTAAATCTGTTTTTCTTGTTGAAAAGTATTACAGATTTCCCACACACACACATTTCCCCACTCCTCCCCACTTCTGCCCCCTTCCCAGGCCTTCACTGCATTCCTGTCTGTGTCCATGGATTATACTTGTAAGTTCTTTTGTAAATCTCTTCCCATCTTCCCTGTCCTGAGAACTTTTTATATTTTAAAAAATTATTTTCTATAGAACAAACAAGTACAAAAGTTAACAATCTATATTCATTCCTACCTGTTTGATGGCATTGCCCAAATGTCGAAGTTGATCAGGTATCAGCTGTAATTCTTTCTTCATGTCTCTCTCACTATCAGAGAGAACTGGAAGCTGAGAATGAAAACTGTGAAGTACTTTTTTCATCCTTTAAAAAAGGCAAGAAAACATCCCAGCTTAAGATCTCTGCTACTTAGGAATCAATCTGGTGCTTGTGGAGGAGGCCGCACAGGATGGGGGGGAATGCATCACTGCACTGTCTTCCCTAACTGCCTCAGGAGAGGAGGGAGCCAGCCCCACCCTGCAGGCTGGGAGAGCACTCCAGGCCGCTTCCCGTGGCGCGGTTAACATCTGAGCACGACGGAGCCGCACCAGTAGCACCTGAACGGGAACTGAATGTTGTACGACCACTGACCTGTTTGTGATGTCTTCCTGTTTTTCCTTGGCTTCCTCATATTTGTCAGCTAAGCGCTCAGCCATTTCCCGCAGACTTTTCCTAATGGCAGGAAAAACGAGACTCTTGGGGTCCACCTTGATGGTGAAGCCAGCTAATGTGGTCTGGGTTTTAGGGTGAGATCCAGTTCCAGTCTCTCGAGCTGCTGTTTTTCCTCCCCAATTTTGGCACTTACCTTTCCTCTCGACAGTAGTTGAGGTCTTCAAGTTGTTTCTTTTTTTGGTCACACAGTAATTTGATCCTTCAAAAGCAAAAAGAAAAATGTAATGGGAAGCCAGGTCTAGGCCATTATAGTGTCAGCTGCCCGCCAGGAGCTGGCGGGACGTGCGCAAAGGCCACCTACCTCCGCTGAATCTCCTCCTTGGCCAGGTCCTGTTTAAGGATGTACTGTTCTCTGAACACCTGGGTGGCTCTGCTGATGAGCTGAAGACATTCTTCAGGAGGAGGGGCTGTATCTTTTTCAGATGATCTTTAAAAAAAATTTCTACATTACTTAGCTGAATAAAACAACTAAAAATTGACTCGTCATAGCTGCTTTTTTCCCTTTTTATACTTCCTGTTTATCATTTTCAAGTGCCT